TGTCCAGGCCTACACGAGATGAGGCAGGATAAAGAGGGATAATCCCCCTCGATCCCAAATCATTGAGGCCAATTTCTAGCCATAGAATAATGGCGCGCGCGGCTTGATATTGCAGTTTCTGCAATAGCGCTGATAGTAAAATTAGCAGATTACGGAACATAGCCCTAGTGTCATTCATGGAACATACTCTTTGCTTGACACAAGTACACTGCGCAGTTCCAAATGGTGTTTTATTTGTGCATGTGTTGTGTGTTGCGTGATTGACGTAGTACAATGATTGTGATAAATTAAAGTGGAGAAAGTACATTAAAGACTCGATGATGGTCTTGGGCCATTTAAGATTTAGTTATTTTTTAAAAACAAATCAGACATTGTGGATAAAAGCCCCGTGCATACCTAAGAAAGCTTCAAACGTGTTTGAAGCTTTCGAGGCCGTGTTCATGGAACTATGAACCTAGACTCGTTGTCTTTTACTTTGTCACAAATAAGTTATTTGGTTGCAACATTAACTAAAAAAAACTACAAGCAAGTAGTTGGAGACCTAACAAAGGTAAGTTAACTAATTGATCTACAATTTAGATTATACTTATGAAATAAAAGATATAAAATATGACAAATTAGATCATCCGCCATATTTATTAGCAATATACTTAGGTAACAGTTTTACCGACAGAGTAAGAACAATGAACAAAGGTGTTTTGATTACTTTTTTGTCCATTTTCTTGTTAAAATGTCATAAAAAGTATTTTATTCAAACTAATTTTGAAATGTATTTATTTTTGGACCGTTTGACAAAATTAACTTTAATTTGTTTGACAGCTCGTCACTTTGCATGGTCTGGAGGCGGACCGTCACTTGCTCCAATGTCTGTTTTCATCAGTGGACTTTTCAGAGTCTACGTCTAAGATATCAGCCCCAACTCCGCAGCAACAAGTTTTACTAGAACAGTGTTCTAGTTTGTTAAACAAACCATCTCTAATAACATCTGTTTGTTACATTACAGACAATCCATTAGTTACTAACAAGGTACTTCAAATGTTCTTGTTTTTTTTTTATTCACAACAATTTTTTTTTAGACCCTGAAAGTTGGACCACAGTTCCTCCATCAGTTGAGCAAGTGCCTTCGCCTCTCTGCTGTTCAAGAAGTTGTTTTTGCTATTGCACTACGACATTCATCTAATAGTGAGGTTGCAAATTTGGCTCATGCTCATTTGAGAGCAAGTGTCCCTGCATTAGTGCAATCATATATTGATACTGAAGGTAGCAGTCGCCAACACGAAGGAGGACTTCACGAAACTACCCCTGAGGTTGTTCATCTTATATTATCTACTATCTTAAAAAACCCGAAAGAAGTAGGACTTACGAACGATATTCATACAACATTTCTTAAAACTTTACAACGAGATTTTCCAAAAGAACTTGTACCGGTAGTGCTCGCGCCATTAGTGTACCCTGAACAGTGTGAATTAGCTCCCGAAATGTCATCGGAAGGCCCCGGTTTATCCGGGGGTATGTTAGAAACGTCACTAGCTGACTTAGTGACTGAAATAGGATATGGCTTTACGTCATCGATAGAAGAGTGTCGCAACAATATTATGAAGCTTGGTGGTAGAGATATATCTCCTGGTATTATAGCTCGTGTCCTTGCTGTGATGTGCCGAACACATAGTGGCCTTGAAGAGTCTTTAAATATACAAACCCCAGGTTCTTTTAACAAAGGGCCTGATGGAAGAGCATCTTGGAATGTTGAAGTCTTAATTCAAGCGCTTAAAGAAGTTGTTGCAAATTTTCAGTGGAACAGTGTAGTCGCAGAACTAGATCATTCTGACTTTATGATAAAAGATAGGCAGGGACTCTGCTTATTAATAAATGCTCTTCGACAAGGCCTTCAAACTTTCGGTTTTCATCCAGAAACCTTCCCTATTGATCAGTTTTATAAAAGGTGGACAAATGTTGAAGGACAGTTTAGTTTAATACAACATATTTTAAAAAATTCAGATGTGTTCTGCTTTGCAGATTATTCCTGTGTTCCGGTGGCTGTTGATGTACTAAAAACTCCACCGGAACAGGATGGTAAGGAATTAGCAAATTGGCGTTCTCTAAATCTTGTAGAGTTACTGTTGAATTTATCAGAGTGTGGATTATATAATCATGTTCAAGAGTTATTTAAAGTACCTATACATAGCTGCCCTGATGTATTGGTATTGGCATTGTTGCAAATATCAAGCCCTGTTACGTTGCTGAGACAGGAGTTACTAACCAATTTGATCCCTATCTTTTTGGGAAATCATCCTAATTCCGCAATAATATTGCATCACGCTTGGCATACGCAAAGTATAAACATCAAACCTATTATTATGCACGCTATGGCGGAGTGGTACGTACGAGGGGAATGTGATCAAACAAGACTATCTAGAATATTAGACGTAGCTCAAGATCTCAAGGCATTGTCCATGCTGTTAAATGCACAGTCTGCTCAATCTTACCCTTTTATTATAGATCTTGCATGTTTAGCATCCCGCAGAGAGTACTTAAAATTAGAGAAGTGGTTGTCTGATAAAATCAGCGAACATGGTGAAACCTTCGTCAGCGCTTGCATAAAATTTTTACACCGAAGATGCCCACAGATAAGTAAAGGGGAGGATCCACTAACAAAAGTTGCTCCGATACCAACAGAAACTCTTACCACGATTGTGGTTTGTTTGCAAAGATGTATGAACACAGTCGGACCGGATTGTCAAGAAGCTATATTGACCATTGTTAACAACTGTACATTATTGTTGAAGTCGAGACAGCAGCAACCGACTATTCTTCGATCGAGAGCTATCGAGGGTGCAATTAATCCATCGGTGTTTGCAGGTCAGCTTTATAATCATACTGGCGTTGATCCTATTGCCGGATTGAGTACGAACTTGGCAAACATAAATTTAGCAGGACCTACTAGTTCGGCCTTTAATATTCAAGGAGGGCTCGGGCCTTTGGTGCAGTCTCCGGGATCGCCGTCCCGAATTTTAAGTGCGGGACCATCCAATAGTCCGTTCCCTATAATACCGATGCAGCATCAAGGTCCTGTGGGAACTGGGTCGTCACTTGTGCTCGGTGTTAATCAAATGAGTAATATAGGCAGGATGGGGCCAAATCCAAATATTGACAAAACTAGAATTCCTGAATATAATTTGTTTCCCGATATATCATCTCATGTTTCAAAAGAAATTGAAGACGAAGCAAATAATTATTTTCAAAGGATTTACAATCATCCCCCACATCCAACTCTATCCATTGATGAGGTGTTGGCAATGTTGAAAAGGTTTCAAGATTCTCATAGTAAAAGAGAAAAAGAGGTAAATATTTTATTATAAATATAATTATCTTATTTATTTCATCTTCACAGCAAGTGTTACATTTTGGAGAGGTTATTAGATTAGATTAGAATGGACCAGAATTATTGTATTCTAAATATTTATTTCATTTTAGATTTTTATACTTTGACATTGAACATTGGTGATTTTGAACTTTAAACCATTATCTAACTGTTTATTACTGAAAAAACAAACTCAACAATGTACAAAGTTTAACATTGTCTGCCAAATCGAGTTTTGCTATACACATGCAGGAAATACTCAAAAAAAAATTAAAAAAATGTTTATAAATATCGCTATGAGTAAATTTTTCTGTATTGTTAAAGATTTCACAAAATTAAACGGTATCATTGGTTGTCTGGCAATAAATAATATAAAATAATACATTCAAAAGTTAATTTTTTATGGTGGTTTCTAAAAATTTTGTTTTATAACTAAGTACATACAAATTTTACAAAGAATTTGGAAGAGAAAATATTCATACATATTAATGCTACATTCTCGATTATTAATAAAACTATCGGCTTTAAAAGCCTGCGAGTCCAAATACCTCAGTTTAGCTTTAGCCGATGAGTTGGAATAAAGCAGCTCGGAATTCTAATCTCGCTTAATTGTTTGACGTGATGAGTAAACATGTTTTTTACAGGGACATATCAGTTCTACTTAAACAAATCTCACCCAGCTTTTGAAATTGTCCAAACTGAACAAAGTATGTGGGGTCTCTTTAGACCACTCAAAATAGGGATAGGATTTGACTGTTCTAATGACACATCATATACCTCTAATCATAGATCTAATAGTATTGTATAGAACTATGCCTCTATTCAATTCTTTTCTGTAATATCCAAACTTCTTAAAACTTGAAAAGCTGGCATAGTTGGGGAATTTAGAATCATTAAAAGGGATTCTTACTAAATTTCATTATCATGTCAGAAAATATTACACTGTCAGGAAATTTATTTATAAAAAAAATTCCCCCAATTAGAAATTTGGAATTTTGTAAACATATATATTTTTATTTTATGAATTTTGCAAATAATGTCGCATTTAATTATTTTTTTATAAAGCACGGCACAGTAAAAAATATTTGATTCCAAATGATAGAAATGTAAACGTCTACTAATATAGATTAGGTATATGAAAAAATATTATCTATCAAATTTCTAGATAGTTATAATAGTAAGTAAATTATTTTGTTTTATCTAATATACGCAATTTTCTCTTATAAGATCTGACCGTTTACACATTTATTACGATGTATTAGATATTACTTTTATTCGTTCAAACTTCTCAAAAATTGTGGACAATGTTAAGTTTAGAATGAACACTTGTCCTATAAATAATATGATACCGTATCGATAGTATAAAATTTAAGAAGAAGAACAAAATTAACAGATTTACTCTAATCTTATTAGACTTATGTTTATCCAATATACAGAGTCAGAAATAAATATGTTACATGAAAAGATAACGAGAGATTTTGTCGAATTAACAATGTTCTATATCTATAGGGTGGTCCACAACTAATGGTACATAGTGCAACGGCGAATTCCTGACATCAAAATATTACAATCTAACCAAATTGTCCTATTCCGAAAGTTGATATTAAGAAAGATACAGGGTGTCAAAGTTGAAATTTTATTATCGACTTTTTCCAACTGCTCCTAAACAAAACGACACAACGCCACAAAAATTGGTATCGGAAGGTTTTTTAATACGAGAAATCTAAATTTTTCACTAATTTTGATCCCACTGATAGAGGGCGCCATCTACAGCATATTGAGCACATTTAAAATAGCAGAACTTTTTTTTCGCTCGGTATATCAATTTGACTATTACGGAAATCGATTCTCCTAAATTTTGTACACAAAAAAGTTATACTTCTTTGATATCGCTAGAGGTAACCGTTACCGAGATAATCGCATTTGAATTTGCCAATGCAATTACTTAAGCATGTGCAGGTTCTAATGGAAATATATTAATTTTTTTGAAAGTAGGCTATGATTAAAATTAAAGTAATGAATAACGCTTTTAAATTTAGCTTCTGTCAAACATTGCATCGCGTTGTGTGCAACATTCTGAAAGTTTTCTAATTTTTTTTTTAATTTTTAAGATAAAAATGCCCAGACATAACTTTTTCTCTAATATTGAAATGAGATATGGTATGCGTATACGCGCAGGAAAATTTTAATGGACGTAGGGCTCATCGCCGATATTTGGCGATGTATCTGAACAGAAGGCAGCCAGATTTCAAAATATTTAAGAATATTTACAACAGATTAGGAGAAACTGGCTCATTTTGACCTAAACAGGATATTGCAGGTCGTCACAGAACTATTGCTCCAGAGCAGGAAGAGGAAATTTTGGTCTGTGTTGCAGAAAACTGAGAAATAAGTTCAAGACATACGGCTCTCTTGGCGGGAGTGAGCGAGTCATCGGTTTTAAGAATTTTCAAGAAAGAAAAGTTGTACTCTTATCATTTTACTCCAGTCCAGAATCTTCTTGATCCCGATTTTCCAGCCCGGCTAGAGTTTGCACGTTTCTTTCAAACCAAGCAAAACGTCTATCCTAAGTTTGTAAGTAAGATTCTGTTCACAGACGAAGCGACATTTACTCGTCGTAGAGTATTTAATTTTAGAAATAAACACGTGTGGGACATAGAAAATCCACATTTAATAACCGAACGACACTTTCAACATGAATTTAAAATAAATGTTTGGTGTGGAATACTCGTAATCGATCATTATTTTTTGGGACCATATGAGTTACCGCCAAATTTAAATGGTCAATCGTATTTAAATTTTATACGAACTGATTTTGTGCATTTCTTGGATGATTTGCCACTGAATGTACGACAAAATATGTACTTCATGCAGGATGGAGCTCCAGCACATTTTTCAGTACATGTTAGAAATTACTTAAACCATCAATTTCCTGATTGTTGGATTGGTCGTGGAAGCCAAACACCTTGGCCAGCGAGGAGCCCAGATTTTAACCCCCTCGATTATTGCATGTGGGGTTACTTAAAATCGCTGGTATACCAAGATACAGTGCATACTCGTGAAGAATTATGGCAGCGAATCAGAAATGCTTCGGAATCTTTTCGAAATGACAATTTATATTTGAAAATCAGATGATCAATGAACAAACGTGTTACCAAATGCATCAAGGTAAATGGACATCACTTCGAACATTTGTTAAGGAAAGGCGATCTTTTTTTTATTAATCTTTCTATCTTTTTCAATCATTAATAATATTAATATTATTCTTTATTATTTCTAGGGACATTTTTACATATTTGTCTAATTTTATTTTTATTTAAATAAATATGTTCAACTTGGTGTTTTATTTGTCTAATTTAATATGTGCTTCTAGCTTTTATTCTTCATTAATCACCAATAAAAATTTTTACTGAATTAAAATCAGATTACTGAATGGGTACTACTAGGCATTCATGAACCACACGGATAAGGTTGCATTGGCAAATTCAAATGCGATTGTCTTGGTAACGGTTACCTCTAGCGATGTCAAAGATGTATAACTTTTTGTGTACAAAATTTAGGAGAATCGATTTACGTAATAGTCAAATTGATATACCGAGCGAAAAAAAAGTTCTGCTATTTTAAATGTGCTCAATATGCTGTAGATGGCGCCCTCTATCAGTGGGATCAAAATTAGTGAAAAATTTAGATTTCTCGTATTAAAAAACCTTCCGATACCAATTTTTGTGGCATTGTGTCGTTTTGTTTAGGAGCAGTTGGGAAAAGTCGATAATAAAATTTCAACTTTTACACCCTGTATCTTTCTTAATATCAACTTTTGGAATAGGACAATTTAGTTAGATCGTAATATTTTAATGTTAGAAATTCGCCGTTGCACTATGTACCATTAGTTGTGGACCACCCTGTATAGGTACTTTATGGTTTAAAGGATCTCGTTTTTGAGAAAATTAAGGGCATTTGCCTATAATATATACCTATTCTGCTATGCTAAATTACGTAGATAGCTATTTAAAATAAATTTTATCTTAAGGGGAGATTAATTTGAGTGATGATATTCTCAATTGCAAGCACTTATACTGCTAAAAAAAACAACACCGATGCAGGGCTGTACCTCAAGGTGGCTAATTAAAAATAATTTGCCTGGCCTGTCATTGCCAAATTGGTTTATATTTCACACTTCTTTTTATGAGGACCTCTTGCTATCGAATGTTTTATTAAAGTAAATTTATTTACTTTTTATTCTATGCTTGTTCAAAATAAGTTGTGCAAAAATCAATACCTGAATAAGACAAGCAAAAATAAACAAAAAACGAATAGTGGAGAAATTTTTATATTGAATTTTTTATTGCACAAATAAGGAAAAAAACAGCTAAGATGTCTATGTTTGAGAAAAATTGAATGGCAAAAGCCGGTCACAGTTTGTGCATATTTTGATAATAAAGCATACAACTCATATGAACTTTCTTGGTGAAAAAATTTCGATTGGAATTTGCGAAATAAACTTAAAATTGGAATTGCTTACCCCGGGATCTCCAAAAGGGTTGCACATATTTCTGCATATATTTTTCCATAATCAACTGATGCAAACAGCCATTTTTTACATTTAAGATATACCTATTTAAATATTTATTGGATATTAATAAATTTCATAATATTGTAACTTTGTCAAATTAAAATTTTAGGAAAATAAAAACCCTTTCTGAGGACCTATGGTCAACAATTCCTAATTCTTAACAAGATTTTTTTTTTGTTCGCAAAGGGTTTCCTTTGTGGACCTAGAAATCATTCATTAAAAAATATTTAATATCAAAATATGATCAAGCGGAGAACACATCTACGTGACCGTGATCGTGTTCGCCTTTGTCAGAGAGCACACTTGCGCTGTGGCGACTGCATGCGATCTTATTTTACCAATAGTAAAAGTACGGTACACAGAAAAATGTGTAACTTACAGGAAGAAGAACCTTTGCTATTTGCAGTATTGTTGGATGAATAACGACTACTTAATAAACAAATTAAAAAGTAATGTAAGTTAGAAAGTTAATTTGAAAGCGTATTTTATAAATTTGGTCTATTTAAATTTTAACACACAAGATGTTTTTCAATTGATTGCTCTGTAAATTTCTTTCTAGTATTGATGTTATCATTTGTGTATTAAAAACGAATTCAATCGTAATTGGCATCGCAATCGTGATCGCGTAAATGTGTTATCCAATTTAGTTTTCATGAGCAGCCACTAATAAAAACTGTAGCCCAATATTTCAATTCATTCAATGAGACAGCAAATTTTCATTTTTGATTAATTAACTTTTTTTCTTTTTTAAGAGAATACTTATTAAATTTCTTACTTAAAATCTAGTCATTCATTATGTTTTCTGTAATTTTCTATTTTTTTATTAGTGTTTATTTTTTTAATTTTTTTTTTCATGATTTAGATCTTTATCTTGATGGGATGAACTTGAAGCAATAATTTTATTTTTTTAATATAATGTGAAGCAGAAAAAAAATAGCTTTTCAGGAATACCAATATTATTGTAGGTTTAAATAGGAATCGGATAACGAAAACAAAAAGCGGCATTCGTTGGAAACATTGGTTTTTCCACACTTTTAGCGGCATTTTGATAAATCTCTTGAGAAAGTTAAAAATATGAAACATTCTTCTATCGAAGGAGACACAATTTTATTTTTCAGTTTGTACAAAAATTATTCATATTAAAAAATTCTGATTGTGTTAAAATAAACGAATATATAATTTTCAGTTGTCCATATACAGGGTGGTCCGAATTTTATGCAGGAAACTTCGAGGACAGATAGATTTCTTGAAAATAATAGGTGTTTGCCTTATAAACATAGGTCTGGAACGGCCTCGTTTTAGAGATACAGGGTGTTGAAGTTGTTAAAATAAATTGAATTTTTGTTTATATCTCCAGAATCAATTAACCGATGTCAATAAAATTTGGTACAGATAATGTAGGACAGTAGGTCTTGCATTCCCTAAAATATGAGCTCTAATGGTTCAACCAGTGGTGTACAACTGGACAGGGGTCGCCGTATTTTTATTAAAAAAAACCTACACCACTGTATTTTTTACAAGTTATTGTAACAGATTTATATTCTAATGACTAAATACGTAAAAAAGGTAACTTGAATTTTTTCCCTAAGAATCGCCGTTCTCAAGTTATTCATACCAATACAAACCCCTTGTGGCAGACACTTCAAACCATAATATTACAAGAACATGTATGTTTATGCTTAAAAGTAAGTGCAATTTGTAAGCAGATCAACAACATTATTTCCACATCACCTGTGAGATAGTGTTCCTAGTGTAATTTAGTTTCCTCTGGAGGCCTAATCCACTATTTTTATAAACAAGAACAATTTAAATCAAAATAATAATAATAAAAATACATTTACCAAGCAACAACAACTAAACAAGAAACGAAAATTAACGTTACATATTTACAACAATTGTTCAAAATGCGAACCATCCACATCGATACATTTTTGACATCTTCTATTAATGGAACTAATTGAAGCTAACATCATGTGGTGGTTTTCTTTTAATTCATTACACCCGTCTGCTATTCTCTGCAGTAGTTGTGGTCTTGTATCTATTGGAGTAGAGTAAACTTTACTTTTCAGATAGGTAACCCCAAACATAGAAGTCCAGGGGGTTTAGATCTAGCGATCTGGCTGGCCAAGACACTAGACCCTCTGCACCATTATGGTTGACATTGGCATTTGGTCTTCTACCTATCCATCGTCCCATATAATTTTCATTAAGTCATTCTTGCATTATTCTCCTAAAATGCGCAGGAGCACCATCCATTTGCATCCATTTATTTTGTGGTATATTTAATGGAACATCTTCTAATAATTCAATGGTTTTCTAGAGAGTTTAGAAATGATGGGGAATTTAGATGGGGTAGCAAGAAGAAAGGTTCACAAACTTTATTGCGAATTATACCGAGCCACACTTTCACAGAAAATTCGTCTTGAAAAAATCTTTGTCTGAATTTCATGAGGATTTTCTTGTGACCAAATATTGTGAAAATTCACTACCTCTCACCTTGTGAACGTAGCTTCATCGATCCAAAGTATTTGTAGTAAGAATTCTGGATTATGTTGTGACTTTAACAATCAATAACAAAAATTCAGGCGTCTCTCTGCTTCTCCCGGAAGTAAATTTTTACACAGCTTGTAAATGGTACGGATTTCTACCATCCTTTTCAAATTTTCGATTTACTCACCCCAAGTTACCGAGACGTTTTTTAATCCCAAAAGAGCGACGAGTGTAAATAATTTTGTTGATGTGCCTACAAATTGCACTTACTTTTACATAAACATAAATACTATTGTAATATTATGTTTAGCATATCTGCCACAAGAGGATTTTATTGGTATGAATAACTTGAGAATGGTGAAATTTAGGGAAAAAGTTCAAGTTACCTATTTTACGTATTTTGTGCATTACAATATAAATCCGTTACAATAACATGCAAAAAATACAGTGGCGTAGGTTTTTTTTATAAAAAAGGGGTGACCCTGTCCAGTTGTACACTACTGGTTAAACTTTTAGAGCTCATATTTTAGGGAATGCAAGACCTACTGTCATATATTATCTGTACCAAAATTTATTGATATCGGTTAATAGATTCGGAAGATATAAACAAAAAATAATTTTTTTTTAACAAATTCAACACCTTGTATCTCTAAAACGAGGCCGTTCCGGACCTATGTTTATAAGGCAAACACCTATTATTTTAAAGAGATCTATCTGCCCTCGAAGTTTCCTGCATAAAATTCGGACCACCCTGTATATCAAAATGTACACTACTCTCTTAAATTTTCAAAAGTAAAAATATGTTTCAAATTACAAAAACAGAATCGTGTCTCAAAATGCCAAATGACCTCACACAATCCTTATGGAAAGTGGCTTTTGGCAAATTTTTTTGAAATTTTGCTATGCGATAGTTCTGATCTTGTTGTCGTGTTGATCAAAAGTCTCAATGGATACACTGAGATTTTCGCTCCATGCGATCAGATGTATCGCATAGTTTCAAAAAAAATTGCTGAAAGCCACTTTCCATAAGGATTGTGCGAGGTCCTTTCAACTAAAAAATTTTGTCGCCGTCTATGGTTAAGAATTTGGAGACACTCTTTAAATATCTTTAAATGTTGGAAAAGTACTGAGTAATGATTGTGTTGATGCGTTTCTGACACAGTGTTTCATTGAGCTCTAAAAAATGAAAAATAAAGTTTTCTATCTTTTCAACTCCCATTGTATAACAGTTTACAGCACAAAAAAAAACTTATATGATTTCCAACATTTCACCACAAAAAAAAAAATCTATTAGAATTGCAAAAGGGTCACTTATTAAAATACCTTATAAAACTACGAGTTTGAAGTAAATTATTTATTTTTATTTATATCTTATTTTTAGGTATTTAACTGTATGTTAAGAAGCCTTTTTGAAGAATATAAGTTTTTTCCTCAATATCCGGACAAAGAATTGCATATCACTGCTCAACTTTTTGGTGGTATAATAGAAAGAGGAATCGTAACATCTTATGTAGCCCTTGGTTTAGCCTTAAGATTTGTTCTCGAAGCTTTAAAGAAACCAGAAGGTTCAAAAATGTATTACTTTGGTATTGCCGCTCTTGATCGCTTTAAGAGTCGTCTAAAGGATTACCATAAATATTGTGAGCACGTTAGAGCTATACAACATTTTAGCGATTTTCCGCAACATCTACAGGAATATGTTGAGTACGGTCTTCAGAGTTTAGAACCCCCACACAAACCGGAGGGTCCCGTTCTTCCTGCCAGTTTGGCAGCGATGTTAGCACCACCAAACACTCCTTCGTCTACAGGTTATAAAACAAATACAACTTCTAGTTCTGTTGCTCCAACGAAGGTAAGCACGACACCGGCCAATACATTAGGAAGTAGACCTTCGATAGCCAATGCTACCAATATTGACACACTTTTGGTAGCTACTGAAAAAGAAGAGAAAGCTACACCACCTCCAGAGCCTTTGCAGGACAAAACTGCCTTTATTTTCAACAATTTAAGTCAATTGAATTTAAAGCAGAAATGTGATGAACTTAGAGAACTTGTTTTAGAAGAATACTACCCGTGGTTATCTCAATACCTTGTGATGAAAAGAGCTTCGATAGAATTTAACTTTCATGTGTTGTATTCGAATTTCCTAGATACATTGGGTGTTAACGAAGTCGTGAAAATGGTGACAAGAGAAACCTTCAGAAACATCAGAGTGCTTTTAAGATCAGACAAAGCTATTGCCAATTTTTCTGATAGGTCACTGTTGAAGAATTTGGGACATTGGTTGGGAATGCTCACTTTAGCAAGAAACAAGCCTATTTTACAAATCGACCTCGATTTGAAATCTTTACTTGTCGAAGCTTATCACAAGGGCCAACAAGAACTGCTCTACGTGGTGCCGTTTGTGGCCAAAGTATTAGAATCTTGTGCTAAAAGCAAAGTGTTTAAACCTCCAAATCCTTGGACTATGGCATTGATGAATGTATTAGCAGAGTTACATTCGGAACCCGATCTAAAATTAACTCTTAAATTTGAAATTGAGGTCTTGTGCAAAAATCTGGATATAGACGTAACCCAACTAAAACCCTCTGTATATTTAAAAGACCCGGAGCGAATAAGAAAAATAGAATATCAACTATCACAACCATTAAAGAAGGACCCATTAACACAGCCTCAGGGAAATCTCCCACCAAGCAATTTAAATGACCCAGAATTGGTCAATATCATCCCTGGTCAACAGACAAGTTCTCCCGTTATACAAAATAACAGCACCACACCGACTTCTGCTTTATCCGCTCCACCAGAGCCACGGTACGGCTATTCCGACATACAGATTGCCGGCATGCAAGCTTTCCAAACACACACGGTCGTGTCACCATCTATTTTATTATTTCAAACACAACCGCAACTTAAAGCCCTAGTGCGCACTTCCATCGAACGAGCCGTACAGGAATGGATAGCCCCCGTCGTGGACAGATCGATTAAAATCGCCCTTCAAACGTGCGAACAAATTATTAGAAAAGATTTTGCCCTGGATCCAGACGAGAACAGGATGCGTTTAGCCGCACACTACATGGTTAGAAATCTTACGGCTGGAATGGCTATGATAACGTGTCGCGAGCAACTTCTGGCGGCGATCAACACCCATTTGAAACAAGCGCTCTTGACAAATTTGGTAACACCTAGTGTTCAGCAGAAGGAGATGATCGAACAAGCTGCCAGCGTAATCGCTAACGATAACATGGAACTTGCCTGCGCGTTTGTGCAAAAAACAGCTGTAGAGAAAGCCATACCCGAAATTGACAAACGATTGATGAGCGAGTACGAACTTAGGAAAATGGCTCGACAAGAAGGGAGGTAAGTGTCAGCACTCGGTTAAATAAAAAGGTATAAATAAATATTTTTACGCAGTCCGGTTATTAAGTTTTAAGTCTAATTTTATTGTGACAAAGTGTGTGGCGTTATCTACAGGGTGTTCCTAAATAAGTATAGCAATGGAAAACTGTAAATTCCTCTTGAAAAAAAGAAACATTTATTTCCTCTTCCATTTTTCTCTACGGGCTTTCGTTTTCGAGATACACGGTGTCAAAACTTTAATTTTTTTTTAGTTTTTTGCAAGTATCTTAGGAACCATTTGAACTACAGGACTGAGCTTTTGTACTAACATTACCACTATTAATAGCTACTTTTTCGCACCCTTCTCGAATTCATTGGACGTGCCAGTGGTGGAGATTAGGTATCGTAAGGGTTTTCCCCCCTAACTTTTACGCCACTGGAAAAATTTGACAGCAAATTCTGAAGCGCTAATGAATTTTACACAAAAAGAGTTCTCTTGCTTCATTGCTCTAGTTTTAACGCTCTAAAACTGTTTTCAAGAAAAATGATTTTTTATCAACAAAAACAAACATTTTGCTAACGTTTCGAAAATCTTTTGTATTTAAAAAAATAGGTAGTAATAATTAACAATTTTAACGAAGTTTAACAACAGATAGAATTTGCTGTCAGATGTCAATTTTTCCAGTGGCGTAAAAGTAGGAGGGAAAACCCTTACGATGTCTTAAAATCTCCACCACTGGCACATCCAATCAATTTGAGAAAGGTGCGAAAAAGTAGCTAAAAGTAAAGTAAAAGTAAAAAGTAAAAAAGTAAAAGTAAAAGTAGCTAGAAGTAAAGTAAAGTAAAAGTAAGTAAAAGTAGCTTAGTCCTGTAGTTCAAACAGTTCCTAAGATACTGACAAAAAACTAAAAAAAAAAAAATTAAAGTTTTGAAACCGTGTATCTCGAAAACGAAAGCCCGGAGAGAAAAACGGAAGAGAAGAAAAATGTTTCTTTTTTCAAGAGGAATTTACGTTGCGACAATTATTTAGGAATACCCTGTATATGTGGTCAACGGAACTGCGCTTTCCGAACGACCATACAAAATTTCATCAGGATCTACCATGAAGTTATTACGTTTTGCATGAAGCAAGTTTTTGATAGTTGTCATACTCAGATTGAACAGCATACAGCAATCAAGTTCTGTTTTTTGAAGCCACGGCAACATATCAACTATTACAAATGACATATGGTAAGGAGTGTGTATTACGTCTGACTACGTTTCTGTGGCTCGGAAGATTTCATGATGGCCGAGACTGCATGCACGAAGACGAGAGGACAGGGCGTTCCCAAACAAGACAAACGAACAAAAGCATCAAAGCTCTGGGCTCTGCGCTGAAGTCTGATTGCCGATCAATCGTTTATGGTCTGCCAATGTTCTGACGGTTGATCGATGATTAGACTTAAGTTAAGATTGCACAACTTTGATGTTCTCGTTCGTTCAGCTTGTGTGGAGACACCCTGTCTTCCCCTCCTGCACATTATCTCGACCATCACGAAACCTTCCGAACTATAGGAACATCAGACGTGATACACGTTAACAGTTGATACGTTTTCGTGTCTTCTCTTAAAACTTAATAGCCGGACTGCCGGTATAAGAGCTGGTATTCATTTGGACTTGTAGTGCACAATTCAACAATAAATAGCCCTCTCTGTGCAGTAATGACGAAACATTAAGTCTTATACATTGATTCCAGTGTCAGAACTCCTAAAATATTGTTATCGATATAACTTAGAAATCAATCTTAATTAAATTTACTTCAAAATATAAATTGGTATTCTTGAAACATCAGTATTTCCCTTAGACAAGTTCAACAAATTTGGGGGTAATGTTATATAACATCACAGTTAGGATTATTAGAGCATGAGCAGAATCTTATATTTCTTTTTAACATTTTCTGGTATACTTCTATACTATACGGTTATTCAGAACTTAATCCAAAGAAAAAAATTTGAATGCACAGGGGACTGTTGCAAATACAATTTTGTAAAACAAAATCAAAAAGGCAGTTCGAAAATGATTTAAAAATATGTCTTACCCAGTTTCTACGAACTAACACAAATGTCTTGTTTCACCATAACACAAATGTTGTCATATATTAAAACGATATCCATCAACTTTGAGTTGCTATATATGTAAGTCATTTTTGACACTTGAAAAACTATTGTAAACACTATAGCAAGGGTCGGCAACTGGCGGACCGCGGAAGGTAAAATACTGGACCGCCAAAAATTTTTTGAAAGTATAAATTACTCAAATAAATTATTTAAAAAATGTTTTTTTTTACATTTAAGTGCCAACCTTATCATTTTTTCTAGTATTTTACAATTATGTGAGTGTTTTGAGTTCTTAATGGTTAGTAAGCAGATTAAATTTGAGTTCAAATGAAAATTTGTAAGAAATATGAATTTTTTTCTGGACCTCGTTAAAAATTTTTAAAAGTATCCGGACCCCACCTAAAATTACTTGCCGACCCCTGCACTATAGCAACAACAATAATACTAAAATCGGATTTCACTATTCGGAATCGCCTGGAGCTACGTGAACGAATGACCCTAGAAACTACAGTAGCCCAGCGATGTAAAGGTTGAAAATACTACTTCTATTCCCAAATTTTTTTGGATAAGTTGTGAATCACCCTGTATACTTTTGTCCTGCTATTTACTGGAATTTCAAAATTAATATCTATCAACAAATAAATTGGTATCAATTTATAAAAATCACTTACACCTTAAATTAATCTAAAAAAAACGTTTTAAGACCGAGTATTTGTAGATATGTCTTCCTATAGCCTGTCTTCATTTCGTACTGTTGTAACAAAGAAAGCGAATCATAATATTTTATTGATTATCGTTAAAGAATTATATTTAGAAATTTTTTAAAATTTCATCATAACTCATTTTTTATGGATTTTAGTTGTATTCAGCAAACAACTGATCATGAAATATTCTTTTTCACATCATCCCAGTTAATTTATCTACCAATCAAACATTTTATAGTACTGGAGCTTTCAAAATTTCCTTTAACAATTTTGAGACTTTTAACTAATATAAAATCCAAAAGAATGTAATTTTATTTTTGTGCTGGTGTCATGTTCTTAAAAAACATGTATGTGACGTACAAAAACACAAAAACAAAAATACAAGTACATTGTAGTGTATGTTTCGTGCATAAGTAATAAGTTAAATTTCTCTCATTTCACTTATAATCAAATGCAGTTTGTAAAATGACACTTTTTTTGGATGAATCTTTTAAATTTCTTCATCAAATATGTACTTAATTATTTTCAGTACATAAATAGCAATTAACTCTGCACATCTTTACAGAAATTAATGAAAATAGATGAGATACATAAGAGAAAAAATATTAATTTCCGAACTATACTAATAAGAACCTAAGCAGATTCAGTCTTAATACTTATAGTCCCTTATAGCCAAATATTTGATAAGCAAACAGAATCATTAATGATACATATATTTAAATTTTTTACAAAAAATTTCAGTAATTTTTATTTTTTTTAGTACCATTATGTAGACAATAAAATTGCTTAATATATGTGTTTCCTTATATTTTGCAATGTACAAGTCTGAGATTAAAAAAAATTCTGTTTTTTTAAATGAAATACCTATTTATTTTTACATAGTTTGATCTTATGATCTGTATTTTGTAACACTTTATGCTTAAGGCAGATTGTAGATTATAATACACTAATGCAAACAGTTAAAGGGCCAAAAGAATTTCCGAAATTTTTCCGTGATTTTTGACACTGTATTTAGGTAAAAATTGGTCGTATTGGGAATTAAGTCCACGGACATGGAAAAATTTTTTTCAGCTAAGCCATTGCATGAACCAGATAGCTTGTTTATTCAGCTTCCATTTCCCTTTTTTTGTAAATTTCGATATGACCATTTTGCATCGAAATATCGGACTTTTAATGGAAAAGGATCCTTTTGTTTTCAATCATCGATATCTCAGCGACAAATGATCGTACAGAGAATTGAAAGGCAGTTTCGAAAACTGGAATAATTTTCCTATAACATGCAGCCGCAAGTATTCGGAAAATTTTTTTTTTCATCTTACATTAATTTAAAAAAACAAGGAAAAAAGGGTAATTTATGGTTTTTTAGAAAATTAACGTCTAAATTAGAAGTATTCACGAAATGACTAATGTTAATCATGACTTTTAAGAAGAACAGAAGAACCCTGTGAAGTTTCATCTCGATCTAGCGAACCGTTTCTTTGTTTCAACCAGTCAAACTTTTGAAAAAAATTAAAGGGTCACGTTTTTTGAGCTTAAACACTTCATAATCATGATTAAAATGGAAAAAATATATTTATTTTTTTGAGATTTTCTCACATTTTTACCGCAAAAAACGTTTAAATTAATGATAAAAATAATGAAATTTTTTTTTTTCATAGAAGAAAAAGGGTAGTTTTGAAAAAAACTGTTTCTTAAGTGATTACAGATTGCACAAAAATTCATTAGAAATTTGTCTCAAAAAACGGTATGAATCGAGGTTGAAATCTGGATTGGGTCAACTTTAATTTTAATTTAATTAAAAGTTGATGAACAAAAGCATAGGACGAAAAAGCCAAATCGTGCTGGAAACAATTGAATTTTGTTTCCTTCAATGTCCAGAAGGTTTTTCAAAAAAACTAAAAAAAAACAGAATTTTTTTTTTTTTTCATCAATTTGCTGTAAAAATGTGAGAAAATCCCAAAAAAGAAAAAATTTTCCATTTTAATCATAATTATGAAGTGTTTAAGCTCAAAAAATGTGACCATTTAATTTTTTTCAAATGTTTGACAAAGAAAGGTTCGCTAGATCGAGATGAAAGTTCACAGGGTTCTTCTAGGTATATCGAACTGTAAAATTAATTCTTAACATTAGTCATTTCGTGAATATTTCTAATTTAGCCATCAATTTTCTAAAAAACCATAAATTACCTTTTTTCCTATTTTTTTAATTCGTGTAAAAGATGAAAAAAAAAAATTCCGAAAAGTTGCGTCAGCATGTTATAGGGAATTTATTTCAGTTTTCGAAACTGCCCTTCAATTCTCTGTATGACCATTTGTCGCAGAGATATCAATGATTGAAGACAATAGGATCATTTTCCATTAAAAGTCCGATATTTCGATGAAAAATGGTCGTATCCAAAAAAGAAAAGGAAATTGAAGCTGAATAAATAGGCTGTCTGGTCCATGCAACAGCTTAGATGAAAAAAAATGTTTCCAAGTCCGTGAACTCGGAAAAAAAGGAAAATTTGCAAAAAAATTTTATCGCGCTATTTCTTAGAATTGCATGATAACCATAGCTCCTAAAAAATTTCACCCAAGAGATCTAAAAACTAGAATCTTAGAGCTTCAAAATGATTTTTTTTAATTCCCGATACAACCATTTTTCACCTAAATACAGTGTCAAAAATCACTAAAAAATTGCGGAAAATCATTTGATCCTTTAATTGTTTACATTAGTGTAGTTAGATCTATCAACCTTTCATATGTATATCATTGAAATTGTAATAAACCAACTGCGTAAAAAAATTAGTTTTATTTTGGCTGCGATGTTCGTTTATTTGATATGATGCAAAATTCTTGCAGTTCAAGAACATTAAGCTGTAGATGAGGTGCATAATATAGAGAAACACTACAAAATATGAAGCAGTCGCGTTTATGATTTTCACTTAGAAGATTGCGGGGATGACTTGGTAACAATGCTTCTGTTCTAAAAAAAAATTAACTTACTCTTTTTACATATATTAAAGAAATTTAAAAATTTGGATCTATATGATAACTTACTATTTATAGGTATATTTTGATTACTTTTTTTTTATAGACGATATTGTGATGCTATTGCCTTAACTTATCAAGCCGAGAGGATGCCTGAACCAATACGTTTGAAAGTAGGCGGGATTTCATCTTCGCAAATGGCCGTTTACGAGGAATTTGCAAGAAATATACCCGGCTTTCTTCCAAATGAACGCGATGCTACCATATTAATTCAAAAACAAACGCTGACACCGATTGAATCGCAACCTCATCCGAGTACGCCATTTCCTATTCCACCGACTACTTTAGCCACCGACGATTTGACGCTACTTTATGAAAAATTAATTGTCGAAGTCGAGCAATTCATTCAGCTCACCGCAGCTCAAGCACAGTATACACACATGAATACGAACATGTTAGTTATCAGAGATTGTCTCATGCACATTTTAAGAAATAGGGACTTGACTCCTCCTCAAGCAATTGTACAAAAGGTAAGAATTTTGAATGTTTTTTTGATTACTTTTATTTGTTACATTCAGCAAAACATGGAAATAGCAGTTTTATATGTTGAAATGTATTTATTCATCAATAATTTCAACTTTACCTCAGCAACTCTCTAAAACAAAGAATATTAACAGAACATAAAATACGCAATTTTCTCAGATATAACTTTTAAATATTGTCAATAATATGTAAAATGCAATTCATATTTGGTGTAACAATTATAACATGTCTCTTGCAGTACAAGTGGCTTCCCATTTTCACTTTCCTGTTCGAAATTGTCTATTAAGAACATCTTTTACGTATGACTTGTTAAAGGTTTCAGCGCGTGAATTGTACTACACACGTTAATTTATTAGTTGTGAAAAGAACCTTTTATAAGCTTTCAAACAGTTCCAATACACAAAAATCACACGGAGTTGACATCGAAAGTAACAAGAACGCCAAATGCCCGTCAACTGTCAATTGGTTAATTATGTTGATTTTAATACACTGGCAAGTTGGTGTTATAAGCTGCAAAATAAATAAGTCAAAGTAAGAGTTGATTTTTACCCGCAAATTTTCACGTTTGTAGGCTGTCAGGATCAACCTCCTTAAATCTGACAAATTATGCATTTATCATTATTATTACATTTATTATTTATTACATTCATTATTTATTATAATATTATAAGTAATAAATTAAATTTTTTTTTGAGACACGCTTTCTTAGATCTGATGTCCTTTACCACGCTGCCCCCTGGCTACGGATGGCCTAATTTCTCCTAAAACTGAACAGTGTAACGATTGTTCTGTATACCAGAGTGGTAAATTTATTTTTCTTAAAATTTTCATTTTTCTTAAAGCTACACTACAAATAGAATGTTAGTATAAAATTAAAATTTAAATGGGTATGATTACAGGAAAATTTAGTTTAATAAAAAATAAAAAAAAAGGAAATTTATATCGATTAACAAAAAACAAATATTTTACTTACAATGTGTCCCACTTAAGTGGGAACTTAAGTATTAGCCATCCATGTAAAATTGTTATTTATTGACCAATTTGTTCAACTTTTTTTTGTTTCATAGATCTCAGAAAAAGGAGTAGATCATTGGCAACCGAGAAGCGTTTTATAGGAAGAAAAAACGAGAAGTAATATTAGCGATTTTTTTTTGACAAAAACTGCATCGGATTCTTATTCAGGACTATGTAAAAACCTACTATAAAAATTTTTGTTCTGATATAATCAGGGTGTTGCACAAAATTAAATCTTAATTTTTTAAACCAACTGAAGATTTATTTACGAAACACGTGCATTATTTGAATATTGTGTATCAGTATTATTCAAATTAGTAATAAAGGGAACTTATTATTATGATTTAATAATTAATAATTTATTACAAAGAGAAAAATTAAACAAATAACAAAACAATTAAAATAGTGATTTAAATAGTAGTCACTTCAATAAGTCCACCATTCAATCTTATGCACTTTTCAATACGTTGACAACTATTAATTATTACTTTTCGTAACTGTTGCCTAGTTATGTTACGGCGTCTGTAATACATTCACAAAGTTCTTCTCGCGTTTGGGGCCTCGTAACATAAACTTTATTTTTAACGGCTCCCCACAAAAAAAATCGAGAGGTGTGAGGTCTGGAGACCGCGGTGGCCAATCAATTAAAGAGCTGTTACATCAAATCCATTGATTGGGAAAATGTTCATTCAGCCAGTTTCTCACCATGATCGAATTATCAATAGGTGCTCCATCCATCTGTACATGTAAATTTAAGCGATCATTTAGAGGCAAGTCATCGATTTCATCCATATATTCATTTTGTAGGAATCCCCAAAAACCATCCGCATATAGATTTCCTTCAAAATAGTAAGGCCCAATGATTTTTAGATTTAAAATGCCACACCATACATTCATCTTAGCCGAATACTGCCTTTTACATTGTATAATCCAATGCGAATTTTCTTTACACCACATTCTAATATTTTGCGAAGAAACAATACCGTTCGCAGTCAACATAGCTTCACCAGTATACAAAAATTTTTCAAAAAACTTGGATTATTTAGGTACATACCCTGAAGCCATAAATAATATTCCATTCTTCTTTCTCTGTCTTCTATTTCTACACTGTGAAGAAATTTGGGTTTGTATGCCGTCCTTCCATTTTTTTTTAAATTTCCAAATTCCATTTCTAGATATATTTAAATTAATCATCACTAATGCTCGACCGTGGATTTTCATTAAAATAGTTAACAATTATTTGGTTTAGTGGAAGCATACGATTACGATGTTGGTTGGGAAGTTTACTTACACTTTCAGTTTCATCAAAAACTCTATTAATAGTCACAACTGTAGTATGGTGAATATTTCGTCCAGGATGCCTCCTATTAAATTCTACGGCAGCTTCACGAATTGATCGTATGATCGCACAATTATACAGGGTCGGAAAGTCCTCATGGTTCATCGGCCGTTACGTGAGTGCGATAAAGTAAGTCATAGAAATCCGTGCGATAGAGAAAGATGGCTATAATGAAGGCGTTTAATTGCACGGATTTCTATGACTTACTTTATCGCACTCACGTAACGGCCGATGAACCATGGGGACTTTCCGACCCTGTATTTTGCTTTCACAGGGCATTGTAGAAAATTAAACTATTTTTTAAACTGAAGGTTTATATAGCAAATGCATCATTTGAATATTTTTATCAGTAATAATAATATTTTCACTAATTGTTAATAATTGGAGATGCTTAATGAATTTTTCTATTAAATAACGTTTAATTTTTTTCTCTTTGTAATAATAATAATATGTTTCCTTTATTACTAATTTGAATAATACTCATACACAATATTCAAATAATGCATGTGCTTCGTAAATAAATCTTCAGTTGGTTTAAAAAATTAAGGTTTAATTTTCTGCAACACCCTGTATTCTATCACAACAAAAATTGGTATAGTAGGGTTTTAGATAGTTCTGAATAAGTATCCGGTGCAGTTTTTGTCACGAAAAAATCGTTAATATTACTTCTCGTTTTGTTGGCCATTACTTAGACCACGAAAATAAGGAAATTATACATTCTACTCCTTTTTCTGAAATCTATCAAACAAAAAAAAGTTGAAATAAATCGGTCAATAAATAACAATTTCACATGGGTGGCTAATGCTTAAGTGGGACACATTGTATATGTTTATATCTCAGGGTTGCCAACCCCTAATTTAATTTTTTATTTTTCAACTCGTTTTTCTCTAGTGAGCATAAAAATCTTCCTCTAAAAAGACAGTATATCCCATTCTTCATTGTCAAAATGTGACCACTTAAATTCCCACCAGCCGCCACTGCAGAGGCGATATAGAAAATAACAGATGACGGTACTACTGTACTACAAATAATAAATTTTTCACACTAGTGTACAAAATATTTACGCTAATGCAAAAATAGTAGATTTTACGTACTGTACAACACGTCTAAAATGAGTATTTTGCACGTAGTAGAAAAAAAATTTTTATGAATTAAATTTGACACGTTCAATGTCCATGCATTTCACCCTCGTGCCACCTAGATCTCAAAGTCACATCAGATTGCAACACTCGTGCGTATCATGTGGGCCTTTATAAACAGCCACTGGCATCGAACATGTTAACCAGTTTTTTTATCTGTTTATTTGAATGTAATAATAATTACCTTATACATGTTCTAGTGTGTTGAGAGCTTACAAGAATGTTTAGTCCCCACCCTGAACGACACCGATCCCGTACCATTACGATTTAAGGATGTGATTATTCGAATTCTAAAAACTATGCAAGATCCGAGAGTATACGGCCAACAATGGACGAATAAATTGGTAACGAGGTATTTAACAGATTGCCGTGAAGAACAGCAGCGATACAATATTGACGCAGTAGATATTCTAATCAAGTCGGGACTTGTAAATGTTCCTCAGTACGATATGGCTCTCGCCCAATGTATGGAGAACGGTCTGAACTACATGGGTGTTAGTTTTGCTATGCAATTAGTTCAGTCGTATTTAATTGAAGATAGGTCTAGTCAATTTGTAACAGAGAGTGATTTGTGTAATACCATCGAAATGTTGGCTAAAATTCAGACTCATACTAGGCAACCACCAGAAGGTCTTGGCAATATTATTGACATTTTACGACAGAATCACGAAACTTCGTTCTTTGGAGAACGAGCTCCTATTGGACCTACTGTTCATATACACAACGGAATATTGCAGGTAAGTTTTTTCTCAATTATTTATGTAGGCATGGAAACTCATTACGAGGGTTGCCTTTTATATTTCGGGAATAGAGAACGAAAAAAGAAATTAATCATCGTATATGGCTTTATTGTTTTTTGAAGCACTTTTTTCATTCCGATTGAGGTACCTCCAAAACATGCATTTTGAACGCATCATCCGTTTCTTCAGTCGTTGAAAAACGTTGGCCTCGTGTTTTACTTTTTAATGTGCAGGAATAAAAAAGTTACTGAGTGCCAAATCAGGGCTGTACAGCGGATGACTCATCAATTTGACTTTTTCAGTTCCCAAAAAGTCTCTTGTTTGAGCCGATGTGTAAGAGTTTGCATTTTGTTGGATTTGACTCATTTCGAAACACCCATACAGTCGACTGCTGTTTACTTTCAACTCATATGCATAGATCCATGATTCACCACCTGTTACGATGTCATAGATACGTTTTGAAGCACCGTGATCGTATTCTTTCAGCATTTCTTTCGACCAATCGACATGAGTCTTTTTTTGGGTGTTTGTCAAATTATGTGGGATCCAACATGAACAAATTTTTTTTGACGGTTAAATGTTCATGCAATATTGAATGTATGCTGATCCCATTAAAGCCCAACACTGCCACATTCTCACAATGTCGCATGACAGCATCAACGTTTTCTGGAACAACAACCGATTTTGGACGACCTTCACAAAATTTGTCAGTGAGCGAACCACGGCCACAATTGAATTCCGTATATCACCGATATACAGTGGTTTTTGATGCTGCTTCATCGCCAAAAGTCAAATTAAGTTCAACGATGCACTGTTGTTGAGATAATCCATGTCAAAAGTTGTAAAAATATTCACATGAAAATGTTCACAACTTATTTCCATTTTTTGGCCAAGATGAATCTTTAAAATCGCTGTAAGCAACACAAATAGCGCCTGTATGTTAAAATTTTCGAGTAACTATACTGATTACTGACAAAATGTCGAATTTTACTATAGGGATGTCAGTTGTCAGATTGAAGCACCAGTATCGACCATTCCCAAAATATAAATGGCAACCCCCTTAAAAGGCCATATTTTTTTTACAAACTGTTACCTTAAATAGCTCAACATGATGAATTATTAGTTTAATACAGGATTTTCTAAATTTTGCATTTTAATCATTATTGTATAATGTTATTGACGAATAGGAATATGTACTGTCTGATTTTTAAAAGAATAATGGTTTATACTTAATTTAAATTAAGTATGATAATATTTTATATACAGGGTGTTCCTAAATATCATGTACATAAGGGAGGGGGTAATTCTTTGGCTTATTTCATGACTAAAAATTCATATAAACATAGGTGCTCAATCGCTTCATTACCTATCTACAGGGTGTTGAAATTTTAAGATTTTTTTTTTAGTTTTTTTTCTATAGTTTCTACAGTTTTTGAGATATTTAGCTCAAATTTGGAATATAGGTTACGCTGTAGGACATCATTGGACATGCCAAATGGTCGTGATATTCTACAGAATGATATTTTTTCAGGGGTCATGCTCCTTTTTCTTCCCCTGAACTTTTGTGTGGTGCGCCGCTGGTAGATTCTAAAATCAAAATTGAATTTTATGTTTTGTTGAGAAACTTTTTGTTCTCTTATGATTTTTTCGTATCTGCGACCGTTATCGAGAAAAAAAATAAAAAATGATTTTGTGTAATTTGTGAAATGAAATTGAAATTCTTAAAATGGTCCAGTAGGCTCTGACTTTATTTACATAATCTTTTGTTTCTATTAATTTTGACAGTTTACAACAATTGTTGAAGGTGACCTCCTGCAACCCTTATACATGTGTCCGTTCTTCTCATTGATGTCCGGACTCTTTCGAACACCCCCATATTTCTTACGGTTTCAAATGCATCTGATATTCGATTTTGTAATTTATCAACGGTATTCACTGGTGTTGTATACACTAAAGATTTGAGATACCCCCATAGAAAAAAATCTAGTGTATTTAAGTCAGGGGACCTAGGGGGCTATGACCGAGGTCCACCCCGTCCTATCCACTTCATCTAAATACTCTCGAGCCAAAATAGAAAAATGTGCTGGGGCGCCATCTTGTATATACCACATTTGATTTCTCGGCAAAAAAGGTAATTCTTCCAGTAATAAAGACAATTCGTGTTGCAAAAAATACCTGTATGAATAACCAGTAAGTCGACCAGGCAAGAAGAAAGGGCCAATCAAATGATCCCCAATTATACCACCCCATTTTTCTCTAGGAGATTGAAACTTAGGTTAGACACGCGTTTTCTATTTATTCCAAAAAATTCAGAAAAAGGAGTAAAACTTTTTGTAAAAGTCTGTTGAACTATACTTGAGGTGCAACTTAACCATAATAAGTGAAGATACTGTGAAGGCTTAGTTCTGTAATGAAATTTTTACCATTAAAGTGAAAGTTAACCTCAATAATGAAATGCGAGGAGTGTAAACAAATTAAAGTAAGAAATAAAGACATTTTTAATTGTGACGGGTGTAATAAGGAAATATGTAAAGATTGTGGTGGACTCACAGCATCAGAAATAAAAGTTTTGCAGCTAGCCAGTCGAATTATGAAATATTACTGCCAAAAATGTCTAACTGGAAGGTCTCTAGAATTATGTAATAAATTAGTATTGAGCATGGAAACAATAATAGAAGACAAAACAATGATTATTAATATGTTACAAGAAGAAATTGAAGAATTAAAGAAAAAGTTAGCTACGGATCAAACTGGATCTGGTTATAGTCAAGCAGTAAAAAAACACATTGAGGAAGTCATATTAGTAAAGCCAAAGGACATCACACAAACAAGTGAAGTTACGAAAAAATCGATAGAAGAAAAAATCAACCCCAGTGAACTAGGAATTGGTGTATCGAGAATTAAATATATTCGAGATGGTGGAGTGGCAATAAAATGCAATGAAAATAGTAAAGAAAGGGTAGTAAACGTTTGTGAAACAATTAAGACCACTCTAGGTCAATCATATGATGTAAATATACCAGAAAGAAGAAATCCGAGGATAATAGTATTTAATGTATATCCAAGAGAGTTAGATGATGAAGATAATTTATTAGATAAAATTATTCTCCAAAATTCAATAAATACTGAGCCAAACAAAAGAGAACTAAAAATAGTTCACAAAATTAAAAATCATCAAGGAACAATGAACGTTATTCTACAAATGGATGTTCATACGTACCAATGCATAGAGAAGAGAGAAAAGCTACATATCGGTTGGAAAAGTTGTTTTTTCAGGGTCAGTGTAAATGTGAAACAGTGCTATAATTGCTGGAAGTTTGGTCACATCGCAAAGGAATGCAAAAAAGAAACACCTACATGTCAAAAGTGTGCAGGGGAACATAAAGCAACTGATTGTAATGAGAGTGAAGTATGTTGTGTGAACTGTAGATATGCAGCAGAAGTATTAAAAGTACCGAAAATAGACAGTAAACATAAGGCATATGATAAAAATTGTGAGGCATATAAGAGAGTTGTCGAACAACTACAAGAAAAAGTAAAATATCCAGAAATATATATCAACAAAAACAAAATATAGCAATCAAACCCAAGCATTTTCTACTTAAATATACAAGGTTTAAGAACAAATAAAACAGAGTTAATGTGGGTAGCAAATCAAATTAAACCAATTATTATGTGTATCTCAGAAACCCATGTGACTCAAGATTTTACACCAAACGAAATAGACATCTCTGGATACAACACAGAGGTCAGTTATTCTATGAGCGCACATACAGGTGGGACAATAATATATATAAAAAAAGGATATAGATATAAAGAAATTCTCAACATAAACAACAACAGGAATGTGTGGATAACAGGAATTGAGATTATATTGGAGAAACAAAAATATTATGTATATTGTTTATATCATTCACCTAGTACAAGTGATGCAGAGTTTTTGGATAGACTTGATGATTTTTTGGAAAATATAACTCAGGATGCAGTTAATTTAGTATTGGGTGATTTCAATATAGATTTAGCAAGTAACCACTTTTATGCTAGTAAATTTAATGACTTGATTGCCTCACATGGCCTCTACCAGTTGATTGATCAGTGTACACGAATAACGAAGACATCAGCAACAATAATTGATCTCCTTCTGACAAACCAAAAGAACATTAAGTATGAGGTATTGTTAACTCCTAAAATTACAGATCACTCAATTATTGAAGTTGATCTCAAAAACAAACACAAGGAAAAACTTGTAACGAAAGTTATTAGAAACTACAAAACTATGGATATAGAAGGGTTCCAACATAAATTAATGGAGAAGACATGGCCAATAAATTCTACGGACATAAATAGTTTAGCAGATTGTTTGATAGATAATATCATATGTACACTTAACCAGTTTGCACCAGAAAAGACAATAACATTAAGGGAAGAATGGGGAGATAAAATTTGGTGGAATGTAGAGATAAGCAATGAAATAAAAGAAAGAGATCGCCTTTATAGAAGGGCTGTTCTGACGGGGAATGACGACGACTGGAAAAAATTTAAACACCAAAGAAACGTAGTTGTAACAATAATCCGAAATGCAAAGAGTAAGTATTTTAATGAAAAGATTGACAATTTAAGAGATAAACCATCAGAAATGTGGAAAACATTAAAAAAACTAATTAGTGTAAAAGAAAGTGAGGGAACTAAATCTGAAATAATATTTAATAAGAAAAGATCCGTAGGAAAGGAAATAAGTGAACATTTTAATATGTTTTTTCTAGACAGTGTTAAGGAAATTGTACAAAATATAATTCCAAACAGGGCACCAAATGAAATTGTTAACAATATAAAGGTTGAATATAAAATGGATAAGTTTGATCTATTAGAAATGTCAGATTTAAGGAAAATAGTTAAAAATATGAAAAATAAAGAAAGCAATGTGGATGGCATAACAGTTCAAATATTAAAGAATGCATTTGAAACGATTGGAGATAAATTTCTCAACTTAGTTAATAGCAGCTTAGAGAGTGGAAGTTTTCCAAGAAATTGGAAGAGTAGTATGGTCATTCCAATTGAGAAAATTAAGGGCACTATAAAATGTGAAGAATTTAGACCCATTAATATGGTACCACCTTATGAAAAACTTCTTGAAATATGTGTAAATGATCAAATAGTAAAATATATGGAAGGAAATAATATTTTTAGTGACTACCAAGCAGGGTTTAGACATAAAAATTCATGTGAAAGCGCTTTACAGTCTGTGTTGTTGAACTGGAAAGGGGCTTTGGAGGACCGTCATTTTATTGGCGTACTATTCTTAGACTTTAAGCGTGCATTCGAGACAATAGACAGACAATTACTGTTATACAAAATGGAAAGATATGGCTTCGGACCTCCCATTCTCAGATGGTTTAAGGAGTACTTAACTGATCGGGCCCAAGTGACTAAATATGGTAACGTCTCAGGTGCTATAAAGACAACCAATGGTGTACCACAAGGAACTGTGTTGGGACCTACTCTTTTTATTCTGTACATAAATGACATTATTGAGGCTGTGAAAAAGTGTAAAATTCAATTATTTGCTGATGATACTGTAATATATATGATAGGTGATAAGATAGAGGAAATAATTCAAACGTTAAATGAGGAAATTAAGAATTTATTGGAATGGTTAAATAACAACTCTCTTAAACTCAATATAAGTAAAACAAAAATGATGATTATAAAGAACAAAAATAGTAAATTACCTGTTACAACAAATAATGTTAAAATTAATAATGAAATTATTGAAAGGGTAGTTCATTTTAAATACTTGGGATGTGTAATTGATGAAAATTTATCCTTTTCAGAACATTACAAATTTATTACAAGTAAATTTGCCAAAAAAAGTAATATATTAGGGCGTATGTCACGAGACCTAAGTTGCTGGGCTAAGTTCACTATTTACAAAACAATCATTGCTCCACACTTATATTTCTGTTCCACGATATTGTTTTTAATGAATAATACCCAATTAGACACTCTACAGAAAAAACAGAATAAAATATTACGTATGATTTTAGGATGTAATAAGTATACCAGGATAAGTGATATGCTGAATGCAACCAATATTTTAAGTGTGAGGCAAACTATAACATATAACACTTTGATATTTATTTATAAAATGCTGCATAAATTGGTACCTGAACATCTTCTCCAAAACTGTAAATTTGTCAGAGATATACATGAGCATAATACACATACACGGAACAACTTTTATTTAAATAGGGTTTCTACCAACTTTAGTCAGAATAGCTTATTTTATAGAGGATTAAAACAATATAACGGACTACCTGAAAGTATTAGGGCTGCAAATAAGCTATCACAATTTAAAGAAGCATGCAGAATATATATAAGGCAAAAAATTGATGTATAGTTTATAGGTGTATAGATATGTGTGCTAGTTGAAGAAGTAAATGTATTAAAGTTTGTGTTCTTTTGTGTATATTTGTATATGTGCTAGCCAATGGCTAATAATAAAGATTATTATTATTATTATTATAATAAGAACTGCTCTTGAAAATGTGTTTCTACAATTCCATGTGGATTTTCTTCAGTCCATATATGGTTGTTGTGAAAACTGAATTCTTTGAAAAATTTACTTCGTCAGTAAAAAGGATTTTACAATCAAAATTGGGGTTTACTGCTAGCCTATTCAGGTACCATTGGCAGGAATTAATCCTTAAAGGGAAATCTCAAGGAAGGAGTGCCTGCACATAAAAAAAATCATAAGAGACCAAAAAGTTTCTCAACAAAACATAAAATTCAATTTTGATCTACCAGCGGCGCACCGCTCAAAAGTTTAGGGGAAGAAAAGGGGGCATGACCCCCGAACAAATATCACTCTGTAGAATATCACAACCATTTGGCATGCCCAGTGATATAAGCTCTACAGGGTAATCTATATTTCAAATTTGAGTTAAATATCTCAAAAAGTGTAGGAGCTATAGAGAAAAAACTAAAAAAAAATCTTGAAATTTCAACACCCAGTAGATCGCTAAGCGTTTGCGGACCTATGTTTATATGAATTTTTAGTCATGAAATAAGCTAAAGAATTACCCCCTACCTTATGTACATGATATTTAGGAACACCCTGTATATTAATTTGTTTATAACCATTGTTTTTCAACCCCACTTGGATTGAAAAATAATGTTCAGAAATGAGTTAATATATAGGGTGTTCTTAAAATTGAGTCATTTATTTTAACAGCTGGTACAACTCATAAAAAAATTTGATTTACCAAACCTCATTTATATATAAAAATTGCCAAATACAGCAATTGTTAACAATTATTTTAAAAAATTTAAATTTAAAAACTTTATAAATACAAATCTGATTTATTGTCATTTCGACCACTGCATTGTAAAAACATTAATGGTAAACAAATGGTAACAATTTTGAACAATTTTTGTAGAACAGCATTTTTATCTCTTATTTTGTAAATTTAATTTGAACTTTTTATTAAGAAAAATCTCTCTGTGGGTGTAGAAAAAACAATCCCTTAAAAAATGGTATGAGTTCCTCACATTATTATTAAAATATTACTGCAATAATTTTCATCAGTAACCATTAAATCGAGCACAACCCTTTTTATAATAAGACGAAATCGATGTAATGTGCCCGCTCTTTTACACAAATTTAATTTCAGGTGCGAGCCCCAAATTACGAAGATCCACCGGGGCTAGTTGAGAAAACCGACTTTTTGTTAAGGGATTGGATAAGCATTTACAATTCGCAACACCAAGGACGAGATTCAACTAAAGCATTTAGTATGTTTGTTCATCAAATGAATGTCCACGGAATCCTCAAGACAGACGATTTAATAACGAGATTTTTCCGGCTATCAACACAGCTATGTGTCGAGACAGTGTACAGAATATTGGCAGATAAATCAACACCAAATGTATCATTGACGAGACCGAAATGTTATCACACCCTGGATGCATTCGTTAGATTGGTAGCGTTACTAGTGAAACACTCGGGAGACGCCAATAATACCACAACTAAAATTCATTTGTTAAACAAGGTGTTGGGTATCGTGGCGGGATGTCTGCTGCAAGACCACGATACTAGAGCTACGGAGTTCCAGCAACTGCCATATCAACGTATCTTTACGATGTTATTTTTGGAACTGAATGCACCTGAGCCGGTCCTCGAAGCCATTAACTTTCACGTGTTGACTGCTTACTGCCATACCTTACATATTCTCCGACCATCTAAGGCGGCCGCTTTCTGTTACGCTTGGTTGGAGCTGGTTTCTCACCGAGTCTTTATGGGGAGAATGCTGGCCAGCGCCCCACAACAAAAATGTTGGCCTCTCTATGCCCAGTTGCTTATCGATCTGTTCAAGTATTTGGCACCCTTCCTTAGGAACGCCGAACTGGCCAAACCCGTCACCATGTTGTACAAAGGCACGCTCAGGGTCCTATTAGTGCTTCTGCACGATTTTCCAGAGTTTTTATGCGATTACCACTACGGGTTTTGCGACGTAATCCCCCCGAACTGTATACAGATGAGGAATTTAATTCTCTCGGCTTTTCCCAGGAACATGAGGCTGCCGGATCCCTTTACGCCTAACTTGAAAGTCGACATGCTCCCGGAGATCTCCTACAATCCTAGGATCCTCACGAATTTCTCTTTGATGATAACTCCGACTCAGTTTAAAAAGGATCTAGATTCTTACTTAAAAGCGAGGGCGCCCGTTACTTTTCTCTCCGAGCTGAGGAGTAATTTGCAGGTCTCCAACGAGCCCGGCGTCAGGTATAACATACCGTTGATGAACGCCTTAGTACTCTACGTCGGTACGCAAGCCATCGCCTACATAAGGAACAAGGGTCACACACCTAACATGTCCACCATAGCGCACAGTGCCCATATGGACATTTTCCAAAATTTGGCCGTCGACCTCGATACCGAAGGGAGGTACCTGTTCCTAAACGCTATCGCCAACCAGTTGAGATACCCGAACAGTCATACTCATTACTTCTCTTGTACATTGTTGTACTTATTCGCGGAGGCGAACACCGAGGCCATCCAGGAGCAGATCACGAGGGTTCTGTTGGAAAGGCTGATCGTGAATCGACCGCATCCCTGGGGACTACTGATAACGTTTATCGAATTGATCAAAAACCCCACGTATAGATTCTGGCAACACGAGTTTGTACATTGCGCGCCGGAAATTGAAAAGTAAGTCGGCGGTCTGGGAAGTTATTTTGGTGTTATGTTTTTTTTGTTTGCAGGTTGTTCGAATCAGTAGCCAGGTCTTGCATGGTAAAAACCAGCGTACCGCCACAAGAAAGTGAAATACAAGAGTGATAAAACATTTTTGTGATTTGTATATAATTTTATGTTATAAATTGTGAAAAGTTTTTTATTGATTTTTTGTTATTAATTTCAAGCTTAATTTCATTTTGGAAGGATGCATTTTATTTCTAGGATGTAAGACGATAGTGTATAGATTGTAACATATTAAGTATTTTTAAGAAATTTTCAAGTATTTGTAACTATTATACATATTATGTGGATGTAATAAATGGTTTTCAATGTTTTGAGCATTAAAGGTGCATTTCACTTAATCGCGCAACTTCAAATTCTCTTACGGCAAATTTGTAAAATAGTCCAAATGAACTTATATGTCGGAATAAATTTTTTAGTAAAATTGGGAAATGTCAATTTTTTTTAATTTCATTCTTATTTGAACTCATTTTGATTCGTTTAGGGAGAAATTTGGTCAAATAAATACTATCTGAAATACATTACTTGCGCAAATTCTCAAAATACTTTATTGTAATTTAATTTCTATCAACCTGTTTTACAATTACCTATTTTTTGCCTAAGGAATTCAATTTGCCATATTGTACGGACCAATGGGATAAATGTCAACTTTTTACAGGTGGTGAGATTTATCAGAATATTTGTGTTGCCAAAAATTTTAACCTCGTATTCTTTGGTGATTTTTAAGGGGTCTTTTATACAGGGTGATTCAGATTTAATCTGGATAACTTCAGGAATCCATAGAACAGGTTAAAATAATGTTCATTCATGATATAAACTTATTTTCTAAATCGCACCGTTTCGGAGATAGAGGGCGTTGAAGTAGAAATTTTTTTCCCTCAACTTTTGAACCACCCATTCGATGGAAGTAAAATTTGCAGCACAAGCACTTCTTATGATCTTACATAAGCTCCTTAAGTTTGAACCACTTAGATATGTATTTTGTTTGCTACTCCCCTCTTACATTATTTCAAAACTAAAAAAATTAATTTCAATAAAACAGCTGCACATCACCTTTGCCTCATTAATTTTGATATTTGGACTTGTTTCGGAGATATTCAATGAAATTCGTGACAGTGTAGCGCCCCAGCCGCATAAATTTCATTTAACGTTATAGCAACCCATGAAAAACAAAACAGTGTATTTGTATAAGCTGACGTTTGTGAAAATCGTCGTTAAAAATATTAAGTTGAAAAATTATGAGGGAAAAATAATTCTTACTTTAACGGCCTTTACCTCCGAAACGGTGCGATTTAAGAAATAAGTTTATATCATGAATGAACATTATTTTAACCTGTTCTATCAATTCCTGAAGTCATAAGAGTATTTAGTTACTCTTATGCCTGAAGTTATCCAAATTAAATTTGAATCACCTTGTATACAATTTACGCGGCTGGGGCTCTATATTTACTTGTTTTCGAGATATGTCGACTTCAATATGCAATGTATGATGTAACAGGAAAATCTATTATTTTATTTAAACCACACTGACAAAATATTCTTTTAAAATGTTATAGTGGCCTTATTCACATCACATACTAGCTAATAAACAATAAATTGTAAAAAAAAAACTAATGATCAAGTACAGCAAAAAAAATTGTACAATGGTAAATCTTATAAGGGGCAGAGACGAACCATATTTTATAAAATGTTATTAAAAAATGCAGTCATAGGTAGCTCATGTCATTTGTTTAAAATACAACATGTATGACAGATGACACATACTAGTTTTCCAATAATTAGTTTTATCAGCTTGCGTCTTTCAATTCAACTATACTAATTATAAAATTTACCATTGTACATTTTTTTTCTGTAGTTGATCAAATTACTCAAAATTTAACGGTCTTTCAGATGGACTGCATATCCAGGGATCAAAACATGTTTTAGTATCGCCACGCCATCTATACAGAAAGATTTGAACTAATAGTTCTAACTACAATTTGAAGCTATTCGAGGGGGTCTAACAACCCCAGTTTCCAGAACTAAAATAAATTTCTTAGTTTCGTAGATATTGGCAGTGGGAGTGTTAAATGGCACACTCTGTATATCTAAAACTGGTGCTACATTATTTTTAGTTTCGTTGCTTCTAATGGCCAATTTGTTAAAGCTAGGAAATTTACCACAATTTATGTGTCGTAGTACTCTGATGTAAAAATTTCATCTAACGTCAATACTTTCAAGTGACAATTGACATCTACTCCTTTATTTTTTTAATATATGAGACACCTTTGTCTGAAAGTGTATTAAAGTACTTGGGTGATTACCCATAAAAACAACTGAAATTTGGATTTGGGTTTTAAAGAGATTTTGAACTGAAGGTTAAAATTTAATTTGAAAAGTATATTTGAAATTCTCTTCAAATGAATAAAAAATAATCATTTATTAATAGTGAAAATTCCGTAGTGAGCAGTGATTGCGTTTTTTGTTTATAATGCATACCATTTTTTATATGTGTATTTAGCATAACAGGATGCATATTTACCGATTGCTGTTAATTTTATCACAAGGAAATCGAGATAGGTTCCGAAACAAACTTTTCGTTGTCGGTGCAAAACATCACATTTTTATTAGTAATTGTAGAAAAAGGTTGTTTAGTGCTTTTCCCAATTTCTTTTAGAGTATTTGTGCCAATTTGTCTATAAGTTGGTTCACAATGTCACCGCTTGTTTTCCTATCCGAGATGAGGCAAGAAATGTACAAACCACTTGCCACATACTTTTAAAAATCTTAAAATACTTAAGGAGCAAAACCAATTGCACCCTGAATTACAGCATAAGTTGGTAATTCTATAAAAACACCTTGCATGATTTGGCAAATTTGGATAGAATGTTCCTTTACAATTATAGTAATATAAAGTTCACTATATTTTTAATAGTAAGTCAAATATGGCCAAAGGGGTTCTAGTGAAACTACTGAAACGTAAACATTTTTCACAAGGCATGTGCTGTTCTGCTGAATTACTCAATTTAACAATCGATAATGTTGAAGATGTGAAATCCTTAATTATAAAAATTCCCGATACCAAAACCAAGAGATCACGTTCTTTTACTATGCTGGGAGACAATTATTTGTTTTTGTCGAAAATATGTTGCTTCCACCCGAATTGGTAAAACATTGATTATTTTAGATGTTAGTGGAAAGTGTCATCGAATGGTGGTTGGTATTCATAAAATGAACGCTGTCTCTCAAGAAGTGGCAAAATTTTTAAGCTGGACAACTCAAGAGAATACAGTGGAAACGCATTACGACGAATGTCAGCTACCCTTTTAGTCGATGGCGATAGCAACCTCACTCGTCTTATAAGACACGGGGAAGGAGTTCAAGCACTGTGGCTACATTGAAGACTCACTTTTGAATAAAGAAAATATTGGGAAAAGAATACCGAAAGTTGATAGTGATAATGATAAACCAAGCACCGTGGTCATTTCAATACAACTATTAATGAAAATGTGTTGGACTACTTGGAGAATTTCTCCAAGAATGAGGGTAGTGGCATTTTCAGTGGTTCATTTCATTTTAATACTTGTTCAAACTGTGTATTTAATATCAATGTGGATAAACAAAAATTATTCTACATGTGGTTGAAAAAGCTTTAATAAATTAAAACTTGATGAACACTTTTAATCCAAGGATTAAAAGTGTCAATTTTAGCTCCCAGGATTAAAAGTGAATATTTTTGTTGCTGATACCATTTTTTTTTCTCAGTAAGGAAAATATCGACCTTACAGACTTTCGACAGTCAAAAAATATCATAGTTTTGTTGAGGGTTAGAGAAAAAAATTGTTAATAAGGTATTCAAATAAAACAACAAATAAACAATAAATTGTTTTATTTCCGAACAGAGCTATTCCTCCTACATTTATCCACACTTTAAAAAAAAATAGTCTAAGTAACATGAGTACATAATATATAACAATAAATACAGCATCTGCCAGAATTGGATGCATTGGAATTAATTTGATCAGTCAAGTGGTATGTAATATAATTAATAAATAAAATTTTACTATTGTGGTAACGTTGTTGACCAGCTTATGTCTATCGAAAGCAAAGGTTTTAAATACTACTCTTTTCTATTTTTGTCAAAATATAAACGTTTAGGTGTAAGTTAAATTTACCAAAAACTTACAACTTGAAAAGAAAAATATGTATTATCTCCAAATTTATAAATTCTATATATGTTATTTAAAAAACCTACGAAGATGTCTACAAATCCGCAAAATTAAGAGAAATTAATTTGAAATTTTGTTTACCCCAAAAGTCAATGAAAAATCAGGAAATTTTAATACGAGTTTGGTTAATATATGAGAAAGAAACCACAAATGGCAAATTTATACAAATTAGGATCTGAGGGAAAATTATTTTGAAAATCCGTAGACACCCTGACTGTGGGTTGTAAATTTAATGTGATTCTGATGGAACACACCGTATAAAGAAACAATACTGTAACATCTAACATAAAAAAAGTACTGCTCAGACTGATATAACACTCATTCCACACGTGCGAGATATCCAAAAATAGAGTACGTAAGTTCTTATGAAAATTAATTGAAAAATATAATGCACATAAAATGTGATAAAAACAACCTATACCATTGTATGTATATAGTACAAAAAAAAATTACAGGTCACCATAATATAATAAATTTTACCTATATTGATAGGATAATATAAAAAAATGTGTTAGTTAATTTCTGTTATGATCTAGTGGTACTGAATAAAAATATATTAAAATATAGATTTCTAGTTCACACGGTATAATTATAATGGAAGTCTGCTCTAAATCAACATGATTTATAAATTATCTACGCTTACTTAAATGTAGGTTTGCTCTGATGAACTGGTCCCTTCCAAAAGTTTCTGAAAATAAAATAGTTGATTAATTTTAAGACATGTAAAATTAGCTATTTTTTAAAACCTGACATAGGCCAACTTTTTTATTTGAAGTAATAGACTAGTACTTCCAAATGCAAAGTTGTGGGAAGTAACTTGATTAAGAAAAATTTCCAAATAATTTTTTCCGATGTTGCCAGACTTCTACAGTCGCCATTAACCCTTTCACTGCTCCAGACGTATATATTCGCACGCGATAAACTTTCGCGCACGGTGCCGTAGCTACGTTCAGACGTATTGCGCAGCGAAAGGGTTAAAACAATATTTTTTTAAATGGCAACGCCATATTTTTTTAACATAATTTGACAAACCTTGAACGTTTTAGAACAATTAACAAAAACAACTAAAATAATCTGCAGTCGGCAACAACTAGAAGAAGCTAACATAGCATTAGTAGGCCTTACATATTAAACAGAAATTGTGTTGTTTGAAAGGAGCCAACATTATTGTGCTGTCATTGTGGTATTTGACAGCTGTTTTATTTGAATATGTATAAAAATGTGGGTGTATTCATACCACAAACTAATTACTCCTATCATGATAGCCTCCCCAAATTTACACAAATATGCACAGCAGAAATCGCTGCGATAAATAAAGCTTGTAGTTACTGCCTGATAAACAATATCAAAAAAGCGGTAATTTTCTCCGATTCTCAGGGCGCCTTGGAAAAAATAACTTCTTACAAAAATTATAAAAGAAAAGATTATATCACGATTCTAACAAAAGAAATGATCATTAATTCTAATAATAATGGAACATGTATTGAATTAGCATGGATTCCGGGACATACTAATATTCTAGGTAATGAAAATGCAGATTGGCTAGCAAACTTAGGGAAACATTTTGCAGTCACCAACAACATTCCACTAGATAAAAATGACATTTTGATTGCATGCAAAACATTCCTTAATAATAAATGGCATCATTTTTGGGAAAACGAGTTGAAAAATAAAGGTAAATGGTACTCGGGGGTACAGTATAGGTTCCCCAAAAAACCGTGGTTTCAATCATTCCCATACTTTAACAGAAATCACTGTTCTACAATGATACGTATGCGTACTGGTCATTGTCTCACCGAAGCACATAAATTCAAAATTGGTGTTAATGATAGCCCAGAATGTGAATGTGGCCAAATAGGTGATTTAGATCATATCATTTTTGAATGTGAAATTAACAAAATTCCAAATATTGACATATATTATCTAATTGCCCAAGCGTGTAATACACCAACCCCGATTAATGTAAAACTAATAATGATGAATTTGACTGTAGAAGGATCAATAATTCTAATGAATTTTTTAAATACCAATCAAATAAATTTATAAAGAATAATGGAATATTTGAATTAAGTTAAAAAAATAAAATAAAATAATAATAAATAAATAAAAATAAAAACAATAACAAATAAAAAAACAACATATGAATGGGTCACTGTGTACACAAAGGCATACAAGGATATGTGAATATAACAAAACAGAATATATTAATAACAAAATTGAAAATAAAAAATACAGGCAAAAAAATATATATGTGTATATATGTATATTTATATACACAGGTAGGACAAAAAATACAAAACCCCTCTATTCATATCCTGGGATTCTTAAACCGAGGCAACATTTCAGGTGTGTAATGCTCCGCAGTTGCCCCGGAGCGAGAAGAGTCTTTCCTTTGTTGTGCTATCTGTCTTACTAACCCCTTTCGGCGAAAATCCGAACACAAATCTGAAGAAAGTTAAATCTCCGAGGACATGGGAACTCCCAGACATACCACCCGGTATATCCTCCGAGAATGTGTTATAGAATAAAGTGTGAACCTGGCCAAATACATATAAATGTTAGGCCATCAATTGAGAAGAAGAAATAATAATAAGTTGTGAATATAATTTTCAGACTTTTGCAGATCATTGGGCATGCACTACCAGTTGTTTTTAGTTATACTAAATTATTTTTAAAAAACTCGGGATTTGGAAGAGGTGTATCGGGATGTATTGCATGGAATTAAAAATTAATTTAACTTTCTCTTGTGGATTGATTGTGGAATTGATTCATCTTAGCAACTGAATTAAAACGTTATTTTTTATACACATTCAAATACAACAGCTGTCAAATAACACAATGACAGTACAATTTTTAATTTCCAAGACCTACCTAATTGCAATATTAGCTTCTTATAGTAGATTTGAAGGTTTATCAAACTATGTAAAAAAATACGGCGTTGCCATTTTAAAAAAATATCGTTTTAGTAGCTACTGCAGAAATGTGGCAACACCGGAAAGAATTATTTGTAAATTTTTCTTAAAGTTATTTTCCTACAACTTTGCATTTGGTAGTACTAGTCTATCACTTTACTCCAACAGATTTGGTTGCCAGAACTGCATGGGTGTAATTTAAGATGGCAATGCACCTATAAAGAAGTACTATAAGCAAACTTGAAATTCGATTTATGTTATTTCACCTAAATGCAAACTACTTTTTTTCATAGTATCTAATTTCGTGCTGAAAAAAGAGTAATTGCGGGAAATTTTCTGCACTATATTATTCAANCTATCCGTCTTACTAACCCCTTTCGGCGAAAATCCGAACACAAATCTGAAGAAAGTTAAATCTCCGAGGACATGGGAACTCCCAGACATACCACCCGGTATATCCTCCGAGAATGTGTTATAGAATAAAGTGTGAACCTGGCCAAATACATATAAATGTTAGGCCATCAATTGAGAAGAAGAAGAAGTAGAAATAATAATAAGTTGTGAATATAATTTTCAGACTTTTGCAGATCATTGGGCATGCACTACCAGTTGTTTTTAGTTATATTAAATTATTTTTAAAAAACTCGGGATTTGGAAGAGGCGTATGTCTTGCATAGAATTAAAAATTAATTTAACTTTCTCTTGTGGATTGATTGTGGAACTGATTCCTCTTAGCAACTGAATTAAAACGTTATTTTTTATACACATTCAAATACAAAAGCTGTCAAATAACACAATGACAGTACAATTTTTGTTTAATTTCCAAGACCTACCTAATTGCAATATTAGCTTCTTATAGTAGATCTGAAGGTTTGTCAAACTATGTTAAAAAAAAATGGCGTTGGCATTTAAAAAAAATATCGTTTCAATAGCTACTGCAGAAATGTGGCAACACCGGAAAGAATTATTTGTAAATTTTTCTTAATAAACTTATTTTCCTACAACTTTGCATCTGGAAGTACTAGTCTATCACTTTACTCCAACAGATTTCGTTGCCAGAACTGCATGGGTGTAATTTAAGATGGCAATGCACCTATAAAGAAGTACTATAAGCAAACTTGAAATTCGATGTGTTATTTCACCTAAATACAAACTACTTTTTTTCATAGTATCTAATTTTGTGTAAAAGAGTAATTGCGGGAAATTTTACTGCACTATATTATTCAAAAGAAATCTGCATCTGAAGCACAGAATTGTTATTGAGACTTATTGCGACCATGCTCTGTCGCAAACATGTAGATTGCTTTAGACACTTCAAAAATAATGATTTTGATAAAGATAAAGAACACTTTGGCGCACTGAAACAGTTTAGTTTAGAATTAGAGGAATTACTTCTTTTGCAGCATGACAACATTCGGCCACATGTTGCATTTTTCGTTTAAAGGAACTATAAAATAAATCAAACAATAAGAACGATTCCTGCAAAATTTCCATCAATCTCTCTCTCACAGACAGCTGCGCTCTGTACGACGTTGCAGATGTCGAAACTACGTGATTCAACTACCTTAAATAATAATTCCCAATTAATCTGAGCCCCCATCACAACTCAACATGTAAAAGGACAATTTAAGCAGTACTTACATTTACCCAGGCCAAACTCTTTTGCATCGTCTTCTGTAATGTCCCCATACTCCCAAATATTTGAATGGTTCTTTTTGGCAATGTCCTGAGCTTCTTTATAAGCTTCCAACTAAAAAAAAAAAATAAATAAATAAACAAAAACTTATCGATCTGTTAAATTTTTTGCTTTTTACTATTTTCATTTGAAAAATATTGTAATAAGAGTTGGGATTCATTACCAGTGTGAAGTTAGCAGCTAATTTACCCAAAATATCCAAACATTCATGGGCGTACATATTAAAAAAAAAGTCAAAGAAAGGGCTGACGTTTGCATATAAATTTTGTTTGTAGGCCGTCAGCATCTGGGGAGAATTGTGATCAGCGCCATCAGATTTGACAAATTACCCATAAATAATTGCCTCTTCCAAAGAAGGGTTTAAGAGAATGTGCCTAGACCTGGTGGCATAAAGCCAGCTACCAGCCTAACTTCTAAACCTGTGGCCAACCTCAACAATTACACAGACCCTTTATCCTGTATATCTATTGCAAAAATCGCTAACAGTTATGCCATCCCATGGGTACGCCAACATTTAGTGATTTTCCTAATTTTCCAGTTAGTTTCAATATACACATAAAATAAAATTTCAAATTCCCTTTGAATGACGATTTCAGGCTTTTTAGCCTTACAAGTCACTATATGAAATTCGCCATATTGATTTTTTGAAAAATAACTCTATACTCATGTCCAACTATGTCAAGGGCACCTGTGCAGACTATTTGGGTATGAATTTGTGGTTAATCTGATTACTGTGAGAAGTTTATCGGACGATTCTTTATTTTTCTCATACTTCTAGGCGCCTTATTATGTCCGCCATCTTGGATTTTGCAATTCTGCCAATTAGCATCTTAAAGTACTTGGAAAGACGAATTTTTTAAGCCGAAAACCATCTTCGTAGATGCTCTCAAATTTTGGGCACAGGCTTGATCGACTTGACGTGGACCGTCACATATATATTTTTAAAAACACTTTCTTTGTGGTCGAAGGAAACTACCCCATTAATGCAATGAATCAAAAATAACATCACTAATGAGTTTGATGGAAAACCAATAAAAAAAAAATATGCTTATTTTCCGTTTTTTTTTAAACCTCACAGTTTTGACAATAACAGACTAAAACTGAACCTTGTTATATCATTGTTGTCAATGCAACAAAAAATATTCTTTCTGACTAAAATGTAAGTAGACCACATACTTCTATACATATACAAAGCATTTTGAAAGGGAATTGAAGCCAAAAAGTGGGGGTGTTGCACTTTGTGTATTATACGCACGCGTTATGATTCATTTTCCCATTGGTCGGTTTGTCGGTTAACGTCATTGACATTTCCGAAGATAGTTTATGAATTTGAATAGAAAGACAGCTGAAAATGATTTGGTAAACAAAAAAAAAAAGGAAATGAAACAAGGCAGACCCATAAAAAAACATGGGACCAAGGACCAAGTAGTGGCAGAAGACTTGAAGAAAAGAGGAACAAACTAACACGAAGCGATGAATCTAGCAAAAAATAAAAAAGAAGACAAAATTTGTTTATAAGTAAAAATGTATATTTTTACACCCTATGGATACTTAAGGTTTTATTGATTGAGGATTTTTATTAATTAAGGGTAATGTATTGATGCAATACATTGCTAAAGCAAATTTTTACGTGTCCAATCAGTAACTAGAAATTCCACATTTTGCTAATGCATGAGACTTCGTATTTCATAGTGAACTCTTACTGTTATATATTAAAAGGAGACGAGTAGTTTCCCCTTTATATATTTTTTGTAAATGTCACAAGAAATTATTTTTATAACCTGTGAAGTTACAAAGCCCGCTATATATGATACCACATCTACATACAGCGAAAGGTCAAACATGGTTTCTAAGTGATCATGTTCAAATAAAGAAACGACACTTAATGTACCTGGATGTATTTGGATCACAAACTGGATCAGCTATTTTATTTGAAAAATAATACCGAGGGACAATTTATATCTAAAATCGGCACTGCTTCAATGTGTTCTAAGATCTTGACTAGGTTTGCATTGTATATTTAATAAAATAAGACTTGATATTTAGCATATATTAGAAAATCAAATTGAATCTGGTACCGTGAATCACGAAACACTTAGGTTAATATGATTGATATGACTTATTTTTATTATTATTTATATGTGTTAGTTAAGGTAGATAACTCGTTATCATTTTTATGTATATTTGTACATAATGTGTATTTTTATATGAATTTGTGTATTGATTTTAAATTTCAAAAAATGTTTGCTATTTTATATAAATAAACCACTTTTACTCTCCTCGATTTAGTTTTATTGTACCCATTTTATTTTACATTCACTATCTAATATTCTCATAAATTACAATTAACAAGTTGTACAATTAGTTATACAAAATAATAACTGGTAATTTTGCTCTGTTAATAGTACATCAGTTATTAAATTTCATTTGAAATAATCGGCTAAATTTTCGGGCTTGCGCAAAATTGACAAAGTGCAACATATACACTTTTTATCCCCTCTTTTTGGGAACAAGGTCATTAACGTTAAAAGATATGCAGTGCTTGGTATATGTATAGAAGTATGTGAAGTAGACTGAGATAAGTTGCAACAGAAACTTGGCAACAGTGCACGAGTATACCAAGTTTATTATTTTTTGTAAGTTGGCAGTCCTTGTCATGTATATTATATATTATGTATTTTCTAATCTGTGACATTATACTACACGATCGCTCGCACAGCTGATTGCTTTAACCTATAAAATGTAGGATGAAGAACAGAGTCGGTAGAGACAGGAAAATTTGTGACCAAAAGAAAGTAGGAGTGCTTGAGAATTAGAACAGAAAATAGCAAAAGCAGGAGAAAAGCTATTGAAAAGAAGATTATGGAACCAGAACCTCCGCACTTCCTTCGAGGGCATCAAGTGATCGACATGGAGTAGAAGCATGCACTGTTTTTTTTGCAAAGAACTTTTACATATTTCAAATTATCTACAAAATGTGATCACGAAGAGACACACGTGGAAAAGTTTAAATATGATTTAGTTACATGCATAAGTAGCATACTACTATGATGCACTTCGGTGAATACAAATGTCCTTATAAGACAAGCGATTTAAAGTGATCGTATTTATGAAAGTATAATACAATTTGACATATGTATGTAGTATTATACTGTGATACGATGTTATTGCAGCCAAAAATATTATAAAAAATATACTGAAATTATGGAAACGTTAATTTTAAAATGAAAAATATTAAAAATGTCACAATATATCAAAATGCATAAGATTGTTATATGCGCTGTGATGTAAAATATAAATATTTAATTGTATTGTATTGAAAGTTTATTGTACTTTATAAATAAAAAAAGATTCCAAAAAACATACTTCATTTGAAACTTTCCCTTTCTATTTTATTATTCCAAATTGAATTACACAAATAAACACAAGATGAGTGTAATCCCTTTCTAATGAGTAATTTGTGTATCAAAGTTTAATTAAATTTCCTGCCACATATCCTCATTCATTTTCTATTCACATCACATTAGAAAAATAAATCGTTCACTTTCAAAGGGCCGGCAGAATACAAAACCAACCTCAACCTTACACCGCAACCTCAAAATTTTTTTGCGGGAATTATGAATGCAACAAATAATTCCGCGCATGCGCATACAACTTTTCAATCTTGAAAAGTGTCCTCAGGACATATATCCACTTTTCCGATGGACATGTCCAGCTGACATGTCCGCTGCACATCTCTAATTAAAAACAAAAACAAATCGATAAATAATTCGAGAAAAATTCACAGAAGCATTGCAAAAATAATATACATGGTATCGCGCTTAAATGTGATACACTTCTAACTTCTTTGTTTTGGCCTATTTCAAAAAAATTTATTTTTTATAATGTAGAGTAAAAAAAACCTATCTAACTGTGATACTGCTGTTTTTATTAATGCAATACACGGCCAACTGGGACGCGTGTTTTGCCATTAAAACAGCTGATTGGTATTAGCGATTTTTTTTCCAAAAAATAGATAACATGTTCTCATTCAGCATCCCTTAAATGCTTTTTCACCAAGTTTCATCCAATTCGATACATCTTCAGGCGAGCATTTATACTTAATTGCGCGATTCACGAATCGTCACAGTTTAAGCCGCTGTGCTTGTTTAAACAAGTCACAACAAATGAACATCGTAGGTGAAGGCTCACCAAAGCAGCAAAGTTTAAATTTTGTTTGAATATCTGTATGTATTTTTTCATATAATATTTATACAAGTTTATATTCGAGTACAATAATATTTTTTTTATGAATAAATAACTATATGCATTTCTTGTAACAAAATTAAATTTATTTATTTTTCATTTAAATGTCAGGTTTGTATTGGTAACTTAGATAATAGTATACGATATTACCATTAATTAAAAAGTATACAGTTGCTGAATCGATATTTTCGCAGGCTCGCTCGCTCATGGATTGGCACGTGGTGAATCGGTGAATTTCACGAGTTTTCGGTCGCGTATCTTATGGGGGAAAAAAAAAGTCGCAGGGATGAAAAATATAAAACATGAAAATATAACTTTCCGTGAGTAACCTCGAACAAGAAAAATTCAAAAAGCTCCAGTACAATCCGAGAAAACATAAATTGAAAATGGCGATTTTTGGTTATTTTTTGATCTTAAATCGCTCGTAGCTCGAAAACAAAGCTTTTTTCGAAAAAATCACAAGAGTTAAAAAGTGCTTTTTTGCCCAAAATACATAACCAATGTGTTTTCATATCAATTTTTTAAGATTTTACAATTTTGCAAGGTTTTTTGTTCCCAACAACATAATATAGTGATTAGAAAAGGTTTCATCCTGCCCCCCCCCCCATGGTCAGTCCACTTGTTTTTTGTGCGATTTTTTAGGGGTGCACTGCTCGCCTATTAGTACCAATACTACAGGGTCGGAAAGTCCCCATAGTTCATCGGCCGTTACGTGAGAGCGATAAAGAAAGTCATAGAAATCCGTGCGATAGAGAAAGATGGCTGCTATAATGAAGGCGTCTAATAGTCACCGTCCATTTCGCCCTTCCACAAATAAGATCCACTTCTAATTTGTGGAAAGCCCGACTCTGTATATTTAGAAATCAGTTGATGAAATCGTTTTAACAGATGAAGACAACAAATAGCATCACATGACCATCCTTTCGAAGAATTAGTTTCTTGATTTGTTAAGTAGAAAGTAGAAAGCTAAATAAAATGTTATAAAACAGTAAATATATAGAATCTTACCAATTTATTTTGTCTCCTCCCTTTGACATTTTCAACAATCAATAAACCATCTGTAATAAGATTTTTTATAATATCTCCCTCTGCAGAGTTATCAAGATGAAGTGAGGCAGCGGGCGGAGAACCATGAATTGTGTATTCAACGTTTAATAGCAATTTATTGACATTAGTATCTTCTCGTAAATACTTAAGTGCCATAGCGACATATTCCTCATCTTTAGGCAACGAAACATAAGGCAAACTAAACTCTGTGGCGAAGGGTTTCTCACTAGCATAGGCGGCGGGCAAGTTAGCTAGACGGACTACAGGCAATGTTTCTCTGTTGCCGTAATCAATGTAACGGACAGTCGCTTTGCCAGCCTGAACTTTCTCCACTTTAACTCTGTACCACTCATCGTCAACTGTGAACTTAGCTGCACAAACATCTGCACGTTTGGGAGTGTACGCTCCAGGAAGGGGAGGATTAGCTTGGAATTCTTGCCGTAGTTTTGCTAGAAGGGCCTCCGCCTTAGGTCCTTCCGAAATTTTCTGTACGTAGAAAGTGCCTTCTGGAGTTATTTCAGTTACGATAATTTCTTCGTAGTTCACTCGGCGTTCCGTTGGCTGAAACATACAACAAATCCACATAGCAATAAATATTTTGATGGAGAGTTTAACCTACCACATGTTCCTCATCTTTCTTTTCCACCTTTTCTTCTTCAACGAAATCCTTCCATATCCTCAATTTTTGTCCTTTGGCAGATTCCTCTGCGCTTTTAAGCAAGGAGGCATATTGTGATTTTTCGCCTGTAAAATGCACCGAAGCAAATCCATTCTTCACAAGAGCTACTGACAAATTAATGTTATCCACCCATAACCATCCGATAAAATTCCCAGCTTTGTCATGCGTATCTACCTGTATGGAAACTTCTTTTTGCAGGCAGTGTTCTTTAGTAAAAAGTAAGGCCTCGTCTCCATAAGGTTCTCCATCGGTAGCAGGAGTATTTCCAGTCGCCTGACGGGTTGCACGTGGACAATTAATACCACCTTAAAAGTATATATTTTAATATCGATGCGCTTATGTAACCAGTTTCTTTGTCAATATACACAAATAGTTTTACCTAATAGGAAAGTACACAAACTATTTGTTTTCGGTATGTACAATCTTAATCGTGATCCGCTAGCAACAAATTCCACAATTGCATCCATTCGTTGGGCCCTTTGAAAAGCGGATAATTCAAGTTTGGCTCTAGCAGCATCCTAACAAAAAAACACGCAATTTGGATGATTATTTTAACATTATTGTTAAACTTACAATTTCCGTAACCCTTAATCCGGGGTTATCCTTTTTAGAATGTACCCCAAGTTGAGATTTAACAGCTTTGTTTTCAGCAGTTAAAAGATCGTCATACCTTGAACTGCGTTGGTCGTCATCTGGTCTATATTTTACCACAGTTGCAAGACCTTTTGAAACGAGTGCTTCAGCTACATTTCTAAGTGAAAATAATGCTTTATGAATTAAAACTAAGATTAAGATTAAGATTTTTAAATTACAGAATACGAGTAGCATTGATAGTAGGTAAAAATTAAAGTCTTATTTCGATACAGAAGCTTGGGATCCATACGGCTTTTTAGGGGATGGTGTTTAGGCCCACATAGAGAAGTTTAATGAAGAAAAAATTTCGAGTAAGATCTCAACAAGGGTTTAAAGTACTGGGTGCGAAGCCAATATCCGGATAAATTAAACATTTTTTTCCCAACATTATTTTATTGCAAAAGTGAAAAGGGTTACAAAATTAAAAAAAATTGTTTGTAGGGCAGTACAGAACATATTTACACAATATATCCCCTGCTTGCTTGAATGACCACCTCCAATCTCGGCCTCGGGTACTCGAAGAACCAAATGATCGCTGTCGCTGAGCGCCCAGCACAAACACTTTCAACAATCACAGCTCTTCATCAGTTACACTCTGGCACTTACTTTCAACACCGAGATTATTTTGAGGTTGTAACTATTTAGTACGTGCTTCAAGTTATTTCAATGCCAATCACAACCTCTACATGTGATATAAAACGGAATTTCAAATTGAATTTTGTCCAGATTTTGACACCGCACTCTCTATATGTGTAAAATAAGTAAAGTAAATCAAATGTTTTTTTTTGGTTTCGCAAGAATAAAGGATGAGCCGGTTTTTGGCCTAATTTATTTTTGGCTGAAAAAATCTGAAACATTTTTTTAGTACCTACTAGCAATACTCGATCGTTTCCACTATAAACGGACCAACCCCCTCACCCTTCTTTCACCCTCCACCTCCTTAAATGCCGGGAAAACCCTCGCTTATTAGAGGAATCTTTAAAGAGCTTAGAGATGAGAAAGACATTCAATTCCTATGAATCTTACAAATGGAGAGTTTTTTGGGTCGCTGATCACGAATTTGCTCTCAGAATCACGAAATTCAAAATGGCGGATCCAATATGGCGGACAAGAAAATTGAAATGTCTTCAAAATGCACGAATTTTTTTGTAATGGAGTTTTTTGGTTCTATGATTATGAATTTGGACTCTAAATCACGAAATTCAAAATGACGGATTCAATATGGTGGACAAAAAATTAAAATGTCTTTAAAATGCATGAATTTTTGTGTTGTGGGGTTTTTTGGGTCTTTTGAGTCTCGTATTATTTTTTTTCTTTAAAATGCCTAATTCGGTTTTACAATGACGAATGAAGCAATAACATATACGCGAAATGTTTTTAACATAGTTTTGTACATACTTACTTCCCATTAATGCTAACGGTAGCGCAAATCTTTTCTGGATAACTGTCTCTAGCTTCTTGAATGTAATCGATAATAACATGTACTTTTTTCCCTATCAATTTCTTCCGCAGGTACTCCCTTGCCTCAAACATGTACGGTATGTCATATAATGGACGGAATCCCTTAGGTCGTGGGGCAGGTTTTCCATCGTCGTCATTGGCACGTCCAGATTCCTTTGGTGGTCTGACGCTAGCAAGAAATATCTTTTTATATTCTCCGTTGCCTTGTTTTACAACAAGAGCGTCACCATTGATAACTTCGGACACCGCGGCGGTAAACTCTTTTTCTTTTCCAGTAATTTTGGGAGTAGTAGCCTGCCAATCTTTCCACAGCCTCTTATGGGAATCTTTCGCTTGACGTTCGGCATTTCGTAAACGATCCGCCCCAGATTTCATAAAAGCAATGGACCAATCAACACATCTGGCAAAGCCTTCTTTCAGAAGTAATTCGGCAATATTTCCTTTAGGATGGACAATGGTTCCAACGAAATTAGCGTTATTTACAGACTCAAGTATTATTTCGACTTCTCTTTGTAAAAGACGAACCTCAACGAAATATCTGGCCTCTTCGGCATATTCCACTTTAATCGTAGGATCAGGCTTACCAGTAGCATCAAGTTTGAATCCAGGGCACTACATTAATAATAATTTAGTTAGATTTATATACATTTTCTAAAAGAATGGGAAAATAAACATATATGTTATAAAATATTTAAAATGTAGGTCTTTTCACTAAATTTTAAGTTAGACTTTAAATAAATATAAAAATTCATCTCATTTTGTGTAAAAAAATTGTTTCGTTTAAAAATGATTAATCTCCATGAGATAACTTATCTGACAAGATGCTAAAACAGTGACCAAAAATATTTTGTGTACTTGACAATAATTAGATGATGAAAGTTATATCCAGTAACCATTGACTTCATTATCGTAATTATCTACAGTAGTCGAGTATTGTATTTAAAAGAAAATATAATACTTACTCTAATTCCTGAAATCATTAATGTAACGTGGTAAAAGTCAGGAAGCAGAAAGGCACGTACAGTAGATCCATCCCGAACATGTTCTATGATAGCTTTAATTGGATTGTATTGGTGCTTGTCAACAAAAGCTCTCATATTTTCAACTGACCACTTAATATCACGCACATGTTCCTACAATTTTTTTGGCAAATTGGATTATCAAATGAATTAAACTGTAGTTTATATAAAATCGTTATTTACTCAGCAGAATTATGCTGGCAGTGGAATATTAAAAATCTTCAAAATATTTTGTTATAAAGTTAACAGCAAAATAAGATTTAAAAATATAAAATATTTTTTTCAAAATTCATATTATTAATATTAATTTAGACTGTAATTTGCTAATCAACAATGTCACTAAACGTCATTTTCATGTCCCCTACATACCTGAACTTGGTGGGAATATTGTTATTTGTAAATAGTTTAATAAACTTAGTACTTGTACAAACTTTAAAGGGTGAATCTTTGAGTAATTTTAAGATAAAAAGTTCATATCAACATGGAAGCGCAACAGCTTGGTTCTTTAATTGCTGAAACAATTTTTTTTTAATGATCTGTACCTATCGGAAGAACCAAGCCGTTGTGGACCAATGTTCATATGAACTTTTTATCTTCAAATTAGTCAAAAATTCACTCTTTAAAGTTTGTACAAGTACTTAATAAACACTCTGTATATGCCTATGTATGTATGTATATGTTATCCGTAGTATTTTTGCCTCCTGATCTCGAATCCGGTGTTAGAATTGAGCTATCACATCACAGGAATTTCCTAACCTCAAAAACAAGTAAAAAATAGCAAAAAATTCACGAAAAAGTGCTAGGAAAAATACAAATGAATTTTCTATATTCAAATGTTTATTTAAATGGTGAAGACCCCGCCGAACGTGAATCCGCGGTCAGAATTGATGTTTTTTTTTCTCACCTAAAAAAACGGGTCAAATAAGTCACAAATTTTCAAAAAATAACAGATTCGCGCCAAATTTAGTATACGGGGTTTTTTGGGGTCGCTGATGACGGATCCGAGGTCTATTTTACAAATTTCAAGATGGCGGATCCAAGAATGGCAGACCAAATTTTCAAAAAATAACACATTCGCGCCAAATTTGGTATACGGGGGTTTTCAGGGTTACTGATCACGAATCCGAGATCAGAATTACAAAATTAATTTCTAAAAATTCAATCAATTGCCTATGTACTTTAAGAAGGTTAAAACATGATTGGGTACTCAAGTTATAAAGTAAACAAAAATATTACAAAATAATTTCGCAATTCTGACCTCGAATTCATAATCAGCGACCACGAAAACTCCTGTATACCTAATTTGACGCGAATATATTATTTTTTGAAAATTTGGTCGGCCATCTTTGATCCGCCATCTTGAATTTTGCAAAATTGACCTCGGATCCGTGATCAGCGACCCCGAAAACCCCCGTATATAAAATTTGGTGCGAATGTTTTTCGAAAATTTGGTCGACCATCTTGGATCCGCCATTTTGAATTTTGTAAAACCGACCCCGAAAATCCCCGTATACCAAATTTGGCGCGAATCTGTTATTTTTTGAAAATTCGTGATAGGTATATGATCTTAATTGACCTGTTTTTTAAGGTTAGAAAAAAAAAACATTTTTTTTTGTATTTTTCCTAGCACTGTTTCAACGAATTTTTGCTATTTTTTACCTATTTTTTGTGGTTAGAAAATTCCTGTGATGTGATAGCTTAATTTTGACACCGGATTTGTGATCAGGAGGCAAAATACTACGGATCACATATGTTGCATGAAAAGTGCAGACAACTTTTTTTTTTGTGTGGCTGTTATTTTTATGGAAGTTTTCAGTACACTCAAGTTGTATATTTCAATTAATGGCCAGTAGATGTGCATTTGAGATGTCGATAATAATTAATCAGGCACAGGCAGCAGATGTGCATCATCGTTTTTTTTTTTTTTTCAATCAATTTGTCACGAGTACTACATACTATAAAAATCATTCATAGCTTGAAGTTTTCAAATACTAAAGAGAACGAGAATAACAAAATAAAATAGTAAAGTAAAATTATTAACCAAGTCAAGGTTTTAGTGGGATAAAGATCAATAAGTAAAAGAACACTATATTTATAATCATTGCCAACGTTTCGGTGTTATTTTAAAATATAGTATACTTATTGATGTTTATCCCACTAAAACCTTGACTTGGACAACTAATCAAGATCGCTAAATAGTAGAAACGTAATTAAAATTATTAAAATAAATTTTAATTCAACATTTAAAAAAGGAACTTTTAATTTACAAAATATACTTACCGACGATGGACTTGTTCCCCATTTTCCTTTGCCAGCTGCTCTCGCAGCATCTTCCAATTCTATAAATCTGGCTAACTCCGGACTCTGTCTAACACCTTCCCTTCTTACCGTTACAAGCCCTTCTGATATTAGTGATTCGGAGATATTTTCGGCAGTACTGAAATCTAAAAAAAAAAAATATTTTTGTCCAAAACTTTCTCTAGATAAATTAAACACTTGTAAGGAAAACTGGGCTAAGAGACACGATTATGAGGCTGCTTCCAGGGTGACGAATCGTTTAAACTTGTTGTGACCTTGACCTTGACATCAAGGTCAAAGTTATGATCACATCCAGATGTAAAATTTTTTGCTAAATCCATTTCCAAGGTTAGGTTAGGTTAAAAATAGGGGATCCTATTTAAAATTCCGAAGTTGACCTTCAAGGTGAGGTCAAGGTCAAATCCTAGGTAAGCAGCTGGTTTCCCCCAGTGAACTGAACAACTTTTACTTTAGGCCATTTTTCGATTGGTGCCTTCTCTGACGAGATATTTACATGTATCAATTAAAATGGGACACTCGGTATAATTAATTTTCACATATTTTGAACAATTTATATAATTATAATTATATCTATACTACTACAACAATTAAATTTTAATGAAATAAAAATGGAGGTTTTATAAATGTCATTTTGTATTTGGCACATTTAAATAATGAGCATTTTTCAAATTTATGTAATATTTATATAAAGTACCTTTCAAAATTCATTTCCATTATTTTAATTTAAAATGCATATATTTTTTGACTTCTATAAAAATGTATCGACTATATTTTAAGCTCGGCAATAGCGATTTTGCTCCAAAATGATGGTTAATTCTTGTTATTTTATCAATCTAATGATTTTATTCTAAAGTCCCTAAATTGTTAAACTACCACAATCACAAGCCATTTTGGGCAAATTCCCTATTGCTAACCTTGAAATATAATATTGAATTTACAATATATTTAACAGTATTCAAAATAATATAATTTTCATATAAAATATGAATAAAAGAAAAATACCTTAAATATTAAGAATTTTTTCACATCCATCAATATATGAAATAATTTTGAAGTTTATTATTCAGTAACTTAAAATTTTAATCTAAAATAGAGCAGAAAAATAAATTTTGATAGTCTTCAAATATAAAAAGCAGGTAAATTTAAAAATATATATTCATTTAATATGCGGCAGAATATTTATAAACATCAAACACAAAGTGACTTTTTTCAAACCCCTGTTTTGGGGGAAATTGAGAATAATCAGCTACAGTACTTGGTCAATATAGGAATTTTATTCTGAACTTGACAAATATGCCACCTAATTACAAAAATTTAATTATTTCTAGTAATTTGGCACACATGACAAGAGGGTTCATGTAATACTTGATATTGCCCTTAGTTCTAGGGAAACTTAGACTGTCCGTGGTCAATGCCATCTAAGTACGTGTGCCACAAAAAAAATATTACTTAAACTGTTTTAATAGTAAATAAAAGTAATAAATGTAATAAATAATAATGTTAAACACATAATTTATCAAATCTGAGAATGTCGATTGTGATGCCCTCTAGATCCTGATTGTCCACAAATGTGTCAATTTTATTAATAAAAAAGAAAATATAAATGGTAATCAATACTCTCTTGGGAACCGCTTAGAGTAGTAGGAAGCCATAAGTAAGCAAGTAAATGTCTCAAATACATACACATATTATTACATATATTTTTTATTACCTTTCCCAATATAAATTGTGCCATATTCACGTACGGCATTTGGAGGCTTTTCAGAAGTAAAAAATACTTCTTCACCAATAAGTTTTTTGCGTAAAAATTCACGAGCTTCCCAGGCCCATGGCTCATCCTTTGTTGTTTCACTTCTAAAAATGCAAAAAATGTATTATATGTGTTTACTTAAATTTTGATAAATTTCACTTGGGGCGTAATTTATTTTTCATTTTATAAGTTATTATTTAAAAAAATCTGTGTGTATTCAAATGCATAAAAATGTAGTTTGAAATTGAGCCAACATATGCAGTGTTCCACATAAAAAATATTATTAAAAATATATAAGCTGATTTAATTCTTAGAACTCAATAACAGCTATGAAACATAAATAGCTAATATTGCATGGGAACTGTTCAGAATTTAAATTTAAAGACGTGCCAAATTTACCGGCAATCGAATCTGAATTTACAACGTATGAAAAAATTTCAAGGTACGTCGATCGTCTTCAAATTTGAAATGTGAATATAAATTATAATTGTGAATAACATTTTCTGATATAGATTTTCAACATTTTATAAGAAAATAATACTTTACACGCACAGAAAATATTTTTTTGCTCCAGACAGCATATTCAATTTTTCAAAAATAAAATCACTTTTCAATAAAGCAAAAGTGTTCCCAAAATTCAGTTCAAATCTTTTTTATTATTATCACCTATGGTTAAAATGATATAATGACACCTTGTACATACTAAATTTGGAAAAATACCTAGTTCTTTATATATTTTTTAATTCTGATAAGTGGATTATTATTACAGGGTGGGCTCTTGAAAACGAAACAGAGCGAATAACTCTCAGAAAAATTATTTTTTCAAAAAATGCCGAGACAGGTCAATTTTTGTTCGAAGGGGGATACCTTTTCACATACATTTCTTGTTACAGACTCTACCCCTCTTCGGAGGGAGGGCAACCCCACAAATTTAAAAGGCTTGAACACTTAATTGGTTGACACGTAGTAATTTGCAAATAAATTTGTAAAAAGTAGGTTTTTTTATTAACAACCTGTATCTCTGAAACTAATCGGTCAAATTCAAAAAATAAAACACGGTTGTATAGAGGATTAGAATACCTTTCAAATGATGTGTCACTTACCCTCCTTCCCTGCTAAGATTTTTGGAGGGGTTGCCCCTCCCTCCCTCCCTAAAAAGGTAGAGTCGGTAACAAGAAATTTGAAGAAAAGATGCCTTCCTTCGATAAAAAATTGACCCGTCTCAGCATTATTCGGAAAAATAATTTCGCTGTTTCGTTTTCAAGAGCCTACCCTGTATATGGTGGCTCACTTGAAGCTACATTTTTATACTTTTGAATATAAGCACATTTGTTTAATAAGAGTGACTTATTCTATAAAATAAACAAAATGTCCCTCTTTTCAACTACATGTAGGGTAACTATACCAGCAACTGCCATTATAAGAGACATTGTTTAAAAAAGCTGAGCAAAAATTTAAAGTATTAAAATTTATTACAAATAATTCTAATAGCTACAACAAATATAAAAATAAATAAAATCCACCATTAACTTGAACATATCAATGACAATGATATATAAAAAATCCAAACAAATTGAGACATTATATTATGTTTTTTCTTTATGAAAATAGTGGAGCCAACAGCTAACTCACAAATTTATCGTTTGAATAATCAAAAATAGATACATATAAAACAGAACATACACACTATTTTCCTTATTTTTCTCAATCTAGTTCTTATCAGAAAACAGGTAGAAGGTACAATAGTATAGTAAATAATTTAAATAATTTAATCAGAAAATCAAACAGATAAATATCAATATTCAAATTCGGCCCTACTGAGAATTACAATAAAAAAACTGGACTGTGTAATCTATTTACATACAATATCTTCAAAATATTCATCAACTTGATTGAATGTATTCATAAATGTCTTTGATTGTGTAAAATCGCTATTAGCGATATATTTACCATATAAATATACCTACTTAATTTAATCTCAAACTAATAAAATAAAATCAAAACTAAAGTCATATTGAATTACTTTGAAATTTCCTATAATAATTGCTACTGACATTAAAATTAACACAGAATTTATAAAATTATCACCTGTAGTATATTCCGCTCATAAAAATTTAATTTCAAATTTCCCGAAATAATACAACAAAAACACACTGTATTAACAACGTCCCACAGAAAATCTCTAGAGACAACAGGAATAGCCACATCCCAAACTACTGAAGCTTATAACAAAAGCAGCATGTTATTTTATAACTCAAATATACAGAGTATTTCATAACTCTACCGACTCAGAGCAGGCCGATTTGTTATGTAACATTTTTTTTTGGGATGTGCCGTTGAAGATGAGTGTTAAAGAAGAAAAAATAATCTTATTTTTCAAATTATAGGTACAATGGCAATTACTGGTACACTTAAGTTATATAAAAATAATAATAATGAAACTAGTACAAAGTTTAACTTAACTACATTCACGACAAGTGGTTTTTTCCTGATTGTAGTGATGTTCTTCATAATCTATATCAGAACCCAAGTGAAATTTATACCTATTTGAGAATCCTTATTTTTTTTTATATAAATATATACTCTTAACAATAAATTAGTTGTACGGTGAGGATCACTATTCTTTGAAAGTATTCAACTTTCAAATTGTATGTTTTCGTACAAAATATTTCAAGAAGTTATTTCAGGTCATATTGAATGATTATTATTTATACTTTACTATAAAATTTACAAAAACTTTATTATTTAATACTGATCACTATATTGTTTACATTTTTAAATTCAAATTTATCTATAACAGACATTGATACTGGTAACCAGTAGGAGAGCAGTGAAAGATTAGAATAAACATTCTGTTATTTAGCTGATTGGATGTGACTTATAGATTTGTTAACACTAATTTCAAAACAGAGTTTGCTTAGTTTAACGATGTAAATAATAATGATAGCCATATTTGCTTATTTTATTTTTGTCCTTTCAGTTCAATATTTTTTTAAACCCTTCGCCTTTGTATTTTTATATTGTTCGAGATTTGTTATTTTTAAAAATATGGAGATAACAGTTTATGAGAAAATGTAATTTAACATTTCTTGTAGGGGTGTTAAAAAAATTGAAAAAACTTTAAATGGTACAAGAGTGCACTTACTTGTGAAAATGTGGAAATAAGTTACTAGGAAAAGTTGTTCAAAAGTAAAAGGTAGTCTCTAATACCAATTTTCGAAAAAATCTGGATACTTTTATTTATTTGTAATCATTAAATTTATTTTATACAAATTAAATTATTCCAAANTCAATTATTGTTTCTGCAAAATTACACCGAATTTCGTGGTCCTCCGGCTTTAAAGCGTGCACAATTTGAATTTTATACGGATAAAATTTCAGTTCCTTTGACAATATTCGATGCACAGATGATTTGGAGAAACGACTCGGCGAATATTCAAACGATTGCAAAACAGGCGTCATGCCGCCACGTACAATTCTTGGTTTTTCAAATAAAGCTCTACGAAGAGCGCACGATGTTCTCCCGTCCACCTCTCCATTCGTACTATATCATCCACAACCACAGAATTATAACACCAGAAGCGACAGTTCCGCTTCCCGCCAAATTTTTTTTGGAGTGCGCATGTGCGAAAATCGCCATTATTTTGTAGGTATTTCCTTCAACCTCAAAATATTTTATGTTTGATGCGTGTGTCAACAGTTATTGTATTTCTTGTATTCGTGCATAAATACTTTTTTATTTCTGTATAATATCATGAGTAGAAAAGGTGGAACNTTTTCTGATCACTTACACAAAAATGGTTAAACAGGACGTACAAATTAATCAAATCAAAGTAAGATAATTCTTTCCAGTTTTATTACATGAGAATAAATTTAATGGTAAACAACTTGATTAGGGTTGTTCCGAATATGCATATTTCTATTCACAATCGAGTGTCTGAATTATTTGCATCAAATTTAAAATTGACATTCACTTCCATATTCACATATTTTGTAAAATATTTTTAGCGAATATACCCAAGCTACAAAATATTTAAAAAATTGTATTAACTTTTTCATATGTTTTGAACCACACACAGGATGACAGAATTTTAATGTCACTGTACTTTCAAAATGCGGTAAATTCATTTGATTCTCAACAATCTTCCAATAAGAAAGGGTTTCTTCCTTTTTATTTGGTAAATGAGCCATTTTCTAATAATTTTTTTAAATCTAAAATCACGATAGTATTACAAACATAATAAATTTATAACAACTGTAAAACTGCTCATTTTGGTGAGAATTTTTAAGAGATACTGCTCCTAAAAAATGAAAGTTTCTACCCTAATATATGTGATGCTGATAATAAAAAGTTCGTATAAATATAAGGTCCGCACAGACCCGCTATCAAAATATCTAGTTCTACCTTGAACTTTAAATATCATCACGGGCCCTGGAAACCTTAAAAACCACTACAACTATTTTGCAATAAGTAACATTTTTTAAATGCTAAAATACTTACGCATCTGCAGCTCTTCTTGCAAGTTTTGGAGCAGTAATTCCTGAAAAGTTTATTTGTTTTTCTGGAGGAGGTGCCCCGGAAGATGCTCTAATAATAACAGAATCCCCCGAAAGGATCTAAAAAATAATGTGAAGAGTTTATTAAACTTTTGACACATATTATTTATGCCAACTCACACATTTAGGTTAACTTCTATTAAATTATATTGGAATTTACGTATATTTGTAATTAATGCGCTAAGCTTAAGTAATATGTTAGTTAAAGAGAACTAAAAGAATATCAAGCCATAAAATGTTAATTCCATTCCATATGCATAATCTTGCCAACAACACATGATGTGAACATTTAATGAATTTTTAATAATAATTTAAATTAAACTTGTAAAATGGGTTTCACAATTTTTTAGAATAGTTGTTGTTTTAAAAGAAATTTGTTATTAAAAATTATACCTGTTTTACTATTCCACGTTTAGGTTGAGGTGCAGAAGATTGCTGGGTCGTCATCATGGCATGAGCTGTTTAACTGGGTATAAAAATGAAAGAGGAATGAAAACTTGTCAAACGTCACCATAAAATGAGAGAATATACTTTCTAAAGAGTACGATCCGAATTTATAAATAATTGGATCCTACCACAGACCACCTAGACTGGCTGATAGAGCGCGCCATTATTCGCGCCATTATTCTATGGCTAGAAATTGGCCTCAATGATTTGGGATCGAGGGGGATTATCCCTCTTTATCCTGCCTCATCTCGTGTAGGCCTGGACAGCCTTCGTAGGTGGGCCCCATCCGTCGTCTACCCCGACCGCAAATGCGGCCGGTGTAGGCGCTTTGTGGGACCTCCTTTTGTCCTGGCTGGGCCCCGCCGGCTAGGGCCCTTTCTTCTGGCGCTCTTCTTGCTTCGCCGGCTCGTCTGTGTAAACCCCGGGGGTAGTGTCATGTTTATGTGTGGTATGGTTGGGTAGGGTAGTGCGGCTATGCAGCCTGGGATGCGCTTTGCTAAGGTGGCCCTTAGGCTAGCGCGNATACTAATACTAATACTAATACTAATACTAATACTAATACTAATACTAATACTAATACTAATACTAATACTAATACTAATACTAATACTAATACTAATACTAATACTAATACTAATACTAATACTAATACTAATACTAATACTAATACTAATACTAATACTAATACTAATACTAATACTAATACTAATACTAATACTAATACTAATACTAATACTAATACTAATACTAATACTAATACTAATACTAATACTAATACTAATACTAATACTAATACTAATACTAATACTAATACTAATACTAATACTAATACTAATACTAATACTAATACTAATACTAATACTAATACTAATACTAATACTAATACTAATACTAATACTAATACTAATACTAATACTAATACTAATACTAATACTAATACTAATACTAATACTAATACTAATACTAATACTAATACTAATACTAATACTAATACTAATACTAATACTAATACTAATACTAATACTAATACTAATACTAATACTAATACTAATACTAATACTAATACTAATACTAATACTAATACTAATACTAATACTAATACTAATACTAATACTAATACTAATACTAATACTAATACTAATACTAATACTAATACTAATACTAATACTAATACTAATACTAATACTAATACTAATACTAATATAATTTATTAATTGTTTAATTGATAATTAATTGTGATTTTGATTATTTTAAACAAGTTGCTCTTTTATAAAATTAAGCTGCTATGGATAGAGTTTAACCATTAATTTTGAGCACACTATATGTTTATTGATAACATTATAATTTTTCAGATATACCCACTGCACCAGAATGCGCAGATAGTGATACACCGATGAAATCTCCAGTATCAACGCAAACTCCAAATACTCTAAGTTCACATTCTCCACGAAAGGAGAAATTAAGGAAAAAACTGAAAGAGCTGAGAAGGCAGAATGTTGCAAGTGTCAAAACAGAAAATCCTAGAGAAAAGACATCAATATCCCAAGATTTTAATAATATGTGTGAAAAGCTGTTACCTAAATCATTGGCTGACTTTGTAAAAGTTCAGGCACAACTGTGCAATAAATCAGCAAAAGGAAGAAGATATTCAATGAAATATAAAGAATTTGCTTTATCTTTATATTTTCTGGGTCCTCGAGCATACAAGTTTTTACAAAACTTGTTATGTTTACCATCTAAACGATCATTAGAACGCATGACTCAACAGCTGACATATAATCCTGGTCTTGAAAATGAGGCTCTCTATAAATCTTTACGATTGAAAGTAGAGGGAATGCAAGAAATAGATAAACATTGTATTTTATGTTTGGACGAAATGTCATTGAAAGCAAATCTTTTTTATGATCTAGGAAGAGATGAAATTATTGGATTTACAGAAATTGCAAGTGGAGCGAAGGAGTTCGAACCTGCTCGAAATGTTACGGTTATGATGGTTAGAGGCCTACATACTAACTGGAAACAACCACTAGCTTATTTTTTTGTAAATTCTTCCATTCCTGCAGAGAAGCTACAGCATATTATAAAGGAGTGTGTTACTAAGTTATTAGCTATAGGATTGAGTGTTGATGCCATAGTAACAGATATGGGTTCTAATTTTATTAAATATTCTAATAATATCGGCATCACACCTGAAAACTCTGAATTTTATGTAGGAGACAAACAATGTTTTTATTTATTTGACACTCCTCATATTATAAAAGCAACAAGGAATAATTTACTAACCAATCATTTTGTCTTTGATGATAAAAGGACTAGCTGGAGTTATATACAACAGTTTTACGATATGGATAAAAAGTTAACAAATAGATGTGCCCCAAAATTAACAGACGCACATTTATCACCTAATAACTTTCAAAAAATGAAAGTAAAACTTGCCACACAAGTTTTAAGTCATACAGTTGCAAGTGGTATGAATACATATATTAGTTTAGGTGCACTTCCCCCAGATGCGATGAGTACTGTTGAAGTTATTGAAAAATTTAACAAACTATTTGATATTTTAAATTCATCGTTTACAAACACATATACCATTTACCAAAAGGTTTTTAAAGGTGAAAAATATCAAGTAGATTTTTTAAATGAAATGTATGATTTTATTAAGAATTTAAGAATTTGTAATAAGAAAGGAGAAGACGTTACTTCTAAATCAAAATTTATAAATGCTTGGTTAGTAACAATTAATGGGATTAAGTGTTTATGGGCTCATCTTGAAAAATATGGCTTTAAATACATTATGACGAGAAGAATAAATCAAGACTGTCTGGAAAATTTCTTTGGCAACGTGCGTCAACAGGGAGGTAACTGTATAAATCCCACACCGATTCAATTTGGAAGGGCTTTTAAAAAACTATTCTGCCAAAATTATTTTCATACTGATAATACAAATTGTGCAAATGATTTTGGATACTTGCTTACAAAATTAAGTGACATAAATTGTGAAAACATAGAGGAACCAAGCACAAATGAACTACCTAAAAATAATTTATTGGGAATTGGTGAAACTGATTATAGAAATGAATCGTTATTAGCACAAAATGGTTTCACATACGTTTGTGGCTATCTTATTAAGAAGGCATTGAGTGTTCACAATTGTACAGTTTGTCAGGAATTTGCAAAAGGCACTGAAGTATTGGATAGCAGTACGTTATTTACTTACTTTAAAGCTTATGATACTGAAATGACGATATATGGAGCTCTTCATACACCACACGAAAATTTTCTTCATTATATATATAAATTGGAAAGGATGTTTGTTTCTTCGTTTGAAGAAATGAGCATAAAAAAGGAAATTGGACATACTTATTTTGAAAAAATGAAAATAATTCAATTAGAACATATTTGTACACAATTTCCAAAAATACATATTTTGAAGTTATTTATAAGGCTACGANATTTCCGTCAACCTCAAAATATTTTATGTTTGACGCGTGTGTCAACAGTTATTGTATTTCTTGTATTCGTGCATAAATACTTTTTTATTTCTGTATAATATCATGAGTAGAAAAGGTGGAACAGTTTGTGTTGTTCGTGGGTGTTAGTTCGTTGTAGTATTATATTTTTTATATTCTTAAATATAACATACCAACTGACAGTTAATAATAAATACAAGTATGTATCTTAACTTAAGATACATACTTGTATTTATTTCATATAAGAAAATTTGTTTGTATTTTGTAAATTTTAATTAAATAAAAATATCGCTTAAAAAATTCACTTAATTTTTTCATTTCTTCTTTCTAAAACTTCTTTTTAAAAACAAAAAATAATCAGAACTGTCCAGGGCACAAAACGTAAATTTTTTTAGTATCATCAACACAAATTATGATTAAATATTTTATTTTAATTTTCATTTATTGTTATCATCAACAATAAGAGAGTGTTATAGACAAGTACGTAATGATGAATGAAATAATGAAAATATATAAGTACTTGCTATATAATAATTATATTTATCTAACAAGCTGTCACTATGCCTTATTTTATGAATGAAATATAAAATAAATTACTGAAATAAAGTATACCATAAAATTAAGAAGAATCCACACCATATTTATGTAGGTAAATCTCTATTCAATGAATAAAAAAAAGTTATATAAACAACACAACTGATTGTTGTCATTTTTAAATTTGGCGCTTCTCTATACCTACAAAATAATGGCGGAAGGTCATCGAAATTTGATACGGCGAGATCAAAGGAAAAGAGCCGGCTGTCCCTTCTGGTTATAATTCTGTGCTACTAGGTTAAAAAAAAATCTGGCAACCCTGGTTAGGAAGGAAGAAGGAATAGTGTGAAATAAATGAAAAAAATTCTAAATAAATTATTTTCTTTATATATATTTTTTATTTGAAAACCGAGTAGTGTATGCCTAATGAAATTAAGTACCGAATATATGTAAATATTTCCTTTATGGAGGTAAGAATAAAGAATTTGTTTTAAATGTTTTCTAGTTTCATTATGTTTTTTTTAGAAATGGATGAATTGAATGCCTCCGAATTAGGAAAATTAGATTATTGGGAAAACTGTTATGACAAAGAATTAAACAATTTTCATAATCATGGAGATCCTGGTGAAATTTGGTTTGGTGACGATATTGTGAATAGAATTATCCAATGGATGGAAATGTCTGAATTAGTGAAAAAAGATTCCAAATTACTTGATATCGGTTGTGGAAATGGAATGTTTGTAGTAGAATTGGCTAATGAAGGTTTCACAAATTTGCATGGTGTAGATTATTCTGAAAAAGCTGTAGAATTAGCAAAGGCTATTGCTAATAAACAGAATCTAAATATTCATTTCTCAACGCAAAATATTTTGGATGGATTAAGAGACAAGTTTGATATTATTCATGATAAAGGAACATATGATGCAATAAGTTTAAGTGAAAATGCTTTAGAAAATAGAAATGTGTATATTAATAACGTGTATGATAGCCTGAACAATAACGGTTTATTTATTATAACATCTTGTAATTGGACTGAAAGTGAACTTATACAACAATTCAAAATGAAATTTGAAAGTTTTCATACTATTCCTACACCTCAATTTAAATTTGGTGGTAAAGTAGGAAGTGTAGTGTCTTCTTGTGTTTTTAAACGAAAATAATGTAATCTGCAAGAATTTCCAATTCATTACCTACAAAATAAACTTAAATTCGTCTCTTTAGTTAGTCTTAATGATCATTTTAACATATAGAAACATATACTGATTTCTCTCAAAGCTGGAATATAAATAATTATGTAGGTACGTATATAGAATATTTTTAGAACAAAACAATTTTAAAGCAAAATACCTCAATATTTCCACGGTTTCTACTAGTCATAAATACAGAGCTTAATATATTTATGATAAGCACTGGACGACTCAGGGAGAGATAAGGCGCCATGGCCCCCTTTGGGGCTTTGAAGTCATTGCAGAAAATAAGATAAAATATGTCCACAAATTAATAAAACATTTTTATTCTATTTTAATTTTAAGCATAAAATTTTGATATATAAACGTGGAGACGATGTGAAACTAAAATAAGAAAATTTTAAATCCAGGATAAAACAATTTCTTTCTTTAAAGCGGATTTTATACTTTATATTTTGATTGCTCTATTTTATGTAGTTAGTTAAGGTTTTCTGTTTTATCTTATCTTGTAATTGAAACTTTGTCCCATTGTAACTTCTAAATAAATAAAGTACAAAACATCACTGAAAAATGAGATGCACATCGATAAGACATTACAAACGACCATTATAAGCATTAAGAAAATTACTAAATCACTAATAACTGTCCCTATTACTATCACTGCTGTCAACTTATAAGCAGCAGTATTATAAGTAATTCTATTATAACTTCAACTCATGTCGGGGCTCAACATTCATTGTTCTTTTTGTATGTGCATAATGCATTTATTCCATGTCTTTGCAGTTAGTCAATTCATTGCCTCCTGCAGAACTAATATATCTAATTTAAATTTTTAGTCACCTAATTAGTTCAATGGGATTCAGCTCACAATGGTATGGTGGCAATCAAAGAAGTGTAACAAAGCGAGCTTTTGCTAATTCAACCATTCCATTTTTCATGTATTTGGCTTTTTCTTTTTGTGCAGTTACATTAGTAACTTTATGTTCAATTTTTTCCATTCAACCATTCCATGATTCTTCCTTTATCCCTAACAATCACTGCACTAAGTTTGATATGAAGTAAAATATATGCAAATCATTTTTCAAATACCCCAGTGTCCATATACCTCATGGTAATATATCTGTCACTACTTAAATGCATATAAATCATTAGCCAAAAGTCTGCATACATTTCCGATGTGTATTAATTACTACCCTTTTCCAGAGGATGGTTCTGCGAAAAAGGAAAAATCTGATCGAACCTTTTAGACTTTTTGTTCTCCATTTATCCTTGATTCTCCGAGGTAATAAATTTTCTTTTTCAATGTGTTACTTTTTCTAAATACTCTCTTCACTATACAATTTTGTTCTTTTCTATTAGAATTCCTTTTTTATTTTGTTTTAAATAATGAAAATTCATCTCGTACTTAATATGCAGCAAAATATTTCACCAAATTTTAATTTTTTGAGATTGCAGTCAAAATTTTCTGTAATGAAAGCTGATTTTTAAAATAAAGTTCGTGAACCTTCCTACGAATCATATATTTAACTCTATTGCCAATTTCAATTTTTTTCACCACTTTTTAATGCATAAGTACTTCTAACAGACTTGTTTTCTGCGATTGCAGTTAGAATTTTCTTTAATATTGAAAGCTGATATTTAAAATAAAGTTTGTGAATCTTCCTACGTATCATATATCAATTTCAATTTTTTTTTTTTTTCACCTCTTTTTAACGCATGATAAATACTTCTAACAATGTATCAAAATGAATAAGTATAAACTATTTCTTCTGTTCTATTTCTGCTCAGTACATATTTAAAAAAGAATTAAGGACCTATTGAACTGTTCAATTTTTTTGGGAATCACATAGGTTGTAAAAACAGTGAAAATGTAAAGTAACTTATGGTTTACAGGATTTATTAGATAATTGATAATCACCAAAACACAGAAAATATTTGTTGTCAAATTGAAGCATATGAAATACAAGCATATTAGAAGTTATACTGCTTATTTATCTTCATCTGTGCAAAATACTCTCTTTAGAAATAGTTTTGTTCATAGTGCAATGGAAACATTTGCCACCATTAAATGCAGGCATAAAACGTTTATAACAATGAATATTCAACTTTGACAGATGGCAACTTTTTCCGATTTCATTGCTCTGCGAACAAAGCTAATTTTTGGTTACTAGTATCATATACAGTGTGAGCCAAATAAAACTGTCTCACCCCCATTGTCTTTTCTAATTTAAGAAATATGAAAATTAAATAATCACTAGTGCATTTACATTTTTTTTATATTATATACATTCATTAACAATGGGAAAATCGAAAGCTGAAGATACTGCATGTGAAATGGTGACCATTGGCGCAAACATGCCTTATACGAAAGTTGATAGTTTCGGAAATACAGGGTGTTGAAAGTTAAAATTTTAAATCGTTTTTTTGCGATTATTCTGAAAATATGTAGGTTAGGAACTTGAAAATTTGTGAAACTATATTTTTTTAGGCGACGAATAAGATGCGTGTTGTAATTTCAGCATTGCTCATAGAGGGCGCCACTTACGACCAATTTTACCGAAAATTTAGTTAATAACTTTTTACCCTGTATGTCTAACATGAAACTTGATTCAAAACCTGAAAGAGCAATCATTTTTCCATTAATTGTGTATTCTTGTTTCATTTCGGTATCTCGATCCGTTTTCGAGAAAAATCGATTTAACGAACACTATGTTTTGATAATACGAGAAATTAAAAGCGAAACAAACCAAGTGTTTCTTCGTGTTATTACAACAATTAACAATAAAACAAATGAAATTCGTAATAATGATTTAAAGTCAGTGTTCGAAGAATCCACCGTTGACATTTACACACTTTACACAACGTTTTCTGAGAGATCTTCGAGTTTGAAACAACATATTGGGATTGCGTTTGACTTCGTTGGCAGCGATTTGTATTCTTTGCCACAACTCTTCACACGAACCAATAGATTCTTCCAAATAGAAAAATGAAGAGGATTGAAGTCCGGACTTCTGGGTGGCCAAGTAAAAATGCTTCCACGGCTTGAAGAAGTTCCACTTTATTTAAGAAGAGACATGTGGTTCATGCACGACGGAGCTCCACCGCATTTTTCTTGGCCAGTGCGTGCATATTTAGATGCAGTTTTTCCAAATCGCTGGATTGGCCATGTAAGCATTTTTGCTTGGCCATCCAGAAGTCCGGACTTCAATCCTCTTGATTTTTCTATTTGGTCTCGAATGAAAGATATAGTTTACAAAGAATCTATTGGCTCGTGTGAAGAGTTGTGGCAAAGAATACAAATCGCTGCCAACGAAGTCAGACGCAATCCCAATATGTTGTTTCAAACTCGAAGATCTCTCAGAAAACGTGTAAAGTGTATCAGTGTCAACGGTGGATTCTTCGAACAATTACTTTAAATCATAATTACGTATTTTATTTGTTTTATTGTTAATTGTTGTAATAACACGAAGAAACACTTGGTTTGTTTCGCTTTTAATTTCTCATATTATCAAAACATAGTGTTCGTTAAATCGATTTTTCTCGAAAACGGATCGAGATACCGAAATGAAACAAGAGTACATAATTAATGGAAAAATGATAGCTCTTTCAGGTTTTGAATCAAGTTTCATGTTAAATATACAGGGTAAAAAGTTATTAACTAAATTTTCGGTAAAATTGGTCGTAAGTGGCGCCCTCTATGAGCAATGCTGAAATTACAACACGCATCTTATTCGTCGCCTAAAAAAATATAGTTTCACAAATTTTCAAGTTCCTAACCTACATATTTTCAGAATAATCGCAAAAAAACGATTTAAAATTTTAACTTTCAACACCCTGTATTTCCGAAACTATCAACTTTCGGATAAGGCATGTTTGCGCCAATGGTCACCATTTCACGTGTAGTATCTTCAGCTTTCGACTTTCCCATTGTTAATGAATCACCCTGTATATAGAGTAAAAATCTGAAAAAAAGTTTTGACACCGTGTATCTTGAAAACGAAAGCCAGGAGAGAAAAATGGAAGAAGAATTAAGTTTTCCGTTGCGACACTTATTTAGGAACACCCTGTATAGTTACGTTATTTTTGTATACAGGGTGTCCTACTAAGGTCGGCGGGGTACGATATTAGGGAAAGTATAGGCCCTGGAACTTCGGGGAAAAAAAATAATTTAATAAATCGACCAATCATTGGAAATAGTTTTCAAGTTCGTAGCTCGGTAACTTTTGTTATCGACATTTTGTTCTATCTCTTGACATAAAGGGTTAGGGAAGTCCCTAATGTATGATCAGAAAAAAAGCATTTTTTTAAAGATTGATTCATCAAAAGCCCATATTGTTATACCTCGTTGGAAAGGTCTTTTCATGCTTTATCTCATGGTGAATGTGTAATGTCATTTACCTCAATATAAAAACCTATAGATTGCTTTTCAATTCCAGGGTGTGTAATTTTATCAAGAAGGTTTAAAAATGCTGGTTTCACATATCAAAAGTGTATTTAAGAAAATGTTGATGAAGTAAAAAAATAACTATTTACCTATTTAGAACAACGAATACATTTTTGATTTTCTCATGTTCTTTTATCATTTCTTACTTTTGAAATGTGCCTCGTATACAAGATAATAATATAGATATTTGGCTCACTCTATACACAGATAAATGTAATGTTTTGAATACAAATGTAATAATTAAAGAAAAACATTTTTCAAACGATTTTTTCTGCATAAGCCTTCATCTAAGTGGTTGGTTTCTGTACTATGCCGCTCTCATGCAAATAGTGTATTTTTTTTATTTAAGCGCTACTGGAAATAAATTTAAAGTTCTTGTATTAAGTACACTGTAATTTTTTTTCCTTGCCCAAGCAGTCTACTTTTTACAAGTACTTTTATTGTCCCTCAAAGCCCCACTGATTGTAACTACACTAGCATTTTTGGTGCAGCGTAATCGTGTGGTATACAACAGAATAGGGGTTTAGGAAAATTAACTCCAAATAATCTAAACATATCAGTCTCTACCTCTAAACCATAAGAGTAACAAGGATAAAGATAGTAAAATTTTCGTAAACTCTTAATATTTTTACAAAAATACTGAATAAAGCTACAGGGCGAGTGAAAAGTTGCCACAATTTTTTTGGTCAGTAATTTAATGTTATTTTTGTTTTTATTTTAATTCTAATAATTTAGTTGAATTTTCCATGCAATTTTAACCTTATGTATTGTTTTAATTGTATCTTATTGTTTTTAGTAAATTTGCTCTAGGACTGTGTAAATATGTACTGTTGTTTAATTGCACAAGACGAGAAATAAAGATGGCCGAAATTGTTCAAGCAATCGGTTTCAAGAGTAGAATTTTCTACGATGCTGTGAAACGTTCCAAGAAGACAGGAGGGACTGAGGACCGTCGAGGGAGCGAGCGTCTATAAATCGCCACCACTTTTGAAAACATCAACAAGGTGCGATGCTGAACTCTCAATGAGCAAGATGGCCATGGAACAGCACTGAACGCATCGTCAAGAAGAAGCCGAGACTTTGCACTTACAAGGTTGCTCGCAATCGCTACCACAATGATCTAATAAAGGCAAAGCGCCTACAGAAATGCCATTGAATATGTCAGCTGGTCCTGGTGGTCACCTGAAGAATGTGCTCTTCACCGACGAAATGATTTTCACAATTGAACCACTCCACAACTACCAAAATCGTCGTCAGCTACTCAGTCAGGGCCAGCAGAAGACCGCCACTGCGAAAACCATCGTCCGGTACCATTTTCTGACCTCTGTGATGATCTGGGCCAGCATCTGCACCTCCGGAAATACACCTTTGGTATTAAAATTGACAATGCCGCATACCAAGAACAGATTCTTCAGTGCATCCTGAAGGCGTTGCCACGGAGGGGCCAGCGCATTTTGCCCAATCCACCATCGTTATCTGCGAAGAGTTGTTTCCGGGCTTTTAAGACAAGGACATTTGACCGCCGAATTTGCTGGACCTCAACCCAATGGACTAATCGGTGCGGGTCATCATGGAGCAAAAAACCTCAGAAAGACACTATGTAACGGTGAAACAACTGAAAACGGTGTTGGAACGTGCCTGAGGCGAGATTACAGTGGAAGAATGTGCTACCATCATTTTAGAAAGTGGCTGAGTAAATGTATTGAACCCAACATTTGTTGTAATATTTTTTTTGTTTAATATTATTAATGTTGTGGAATTATGTGGAATCGGATAAAATTGCGGGAACTTTTTTCACCCACCCTGTATATAATGTGAACCAGTAAGTTGTGTCATAAAAATAAATAAATATTACAACAGATACACCTAGCATAAACAGAATCTAAAAGTGAATTATCTCAAATTTTAAGCTGACAAACAATCAAGTCATTATTTTAAAGGATTTCAAAAGGTAAAAAGTTAACTGTGTTATAAATGCCATCCTAAATACTAAAACACATGGAGTGGTTGTAGCCAGCTGCTTCGCTGACGAACCACTTGATCGCTCCACATGTTGCTCTAATGCGTGAAAGATTAAAAATTTAAAATTTGCTTATATTTACATAGACTAGATAAAATAGACATTCCATATAAATAACATAGACAAAATTATAATTATTTAGCCTTATAAAGAAAAAGCTTAAAAGAGCAATAAAAAACTATGCTCATGAATTTTCTATATTAAAAAACCTACATAATTTCGTGTGATCGTATTATTCATTTAAAACAGTTGTGATTTTATGAAATTTATCCGAAGCATTCTGAATATTTGGATTAAGAGACATTTTTTCAATAACTTTGCTAATATTTGCAGATTTCAAATGTTTAGTGGCACTTTTAAAACTTAATATTTGTTCCAATAATGCCACCAAGTTATCAACGCTATGCTGATCCATCTTCTCGCCATATTTATTTATAACAAAATTAAGGTGTTTGCCAATATCGGCATTAATAACTTCTTCAATTAATTTCTCTATAAGTGTGTCCGAGCTTTCCACATTATTTGTTGAACTGCAACATCCAATAAAAAGTAATTTTATAGCATAAAATGCTTCGTTTTGCATAACTGAATGGTTAGAGGCTATCATCTCTACCACACATCTAACAGTATCCTTCACAAATACAAATTTTTCGAATGGTTTAAATGAGTGACAATTTTTTATAAGCCACGCTAGAAGCCTCGGTACTTCTCCTCGAACACCAAGATGATCCGAGTTATAACACCAGTAAACAAGTCTTTCCAGAAAATCTACCCTTGATATTAAATCCAGTGCTGCAGATTCTGAAAAAATATATAATTATCCCTTTACACAAAATACAGTGGTATTTTGTAAAAAAAAAATAATAAAAAACGTTTGTATCTATTATGAAAAAAAATATATTCACATACACAGCGTGGGCCATTAGTGTGAGAAAGTAAAATAACTCCCTTGTTATTCATAACACAGAGTTTATATAACAGTTGTACAGAATCAAAAAACTTAAAGGACAAAATTAATTTGAAACATACAGGGCGATTAGTAAAAACGGGACACGCCAAATATTACATTTTTTAAATGGAACACCCTGTATATTTTTAAACGTACGGATTTCTGAGAAAATTCTATATATGGCAATATAAACAATTTAACATTTTAGTGCGCAGTTGCCAAGTTATGTAGAAAATTCTTATAATTTTGGAAAAAACATGTCCTGGAAGAAGTTATATTAACTCTCAACTACTAACACTTGGACTAAAAATATTTGACAGAGTTATAGACAAATGTTAGGCAAAGACTCCTATATTAGCTAATATCGATATTTTATACAGGGCATTTTTATAATTCGATCATTTTTAGAAATTTCAAACTTGATTTTCTAAAATTTTATTATTCTATTTTATTCACATATCAGTCCATTTCAACTTTTACTAAGAACCTAAAGTTGTTAGTTTTTAAGATATAGCAACATTTCTGGAAAAACCTAATTTTAATTATTTTCGGTCGCACGAAATGGCTTTGGAAAAAATTGTGTCAACTTGTCAGTTGAATTTATGATTCCATTTTGAATTAATTTTATTATTTAATATTTATTTGTGGTATTCTATAAAATAATAAAAATTAAGTTTTTCCAGAAATGTTGCTATATCTTAAAAACTAACAATTTTATATACAGAACATGCTTAATAAAAGTTGAAGTGGACCGATATGTGAATAAAATAGAACAATAAAATACAGGGCGTTTCATTTGAAAAATTTTGGAAAATCAAGTTTAAACTTTTAAAAAATATAGAAGCCTTTGTCTTACATTTGCCCATAACTGTCTAATTATTTTGATCCAAGTGTTAGTAGCTGAAAGTTAATACAACCTCTTCGAGGTTTTTTCCAAAATTCGAAGAATTTTCTACATAACTTGAAAACCCCGCACTAAAACGATAAACTGTTTATATTGCCATATACAGGGTGTCCCAAAAGTGACGCCCGTCCTTCTGGGTTTTGATTAAGGGGACAAAAACAAATCGAAAATCAAGAATGGAACATTTTAAGATTGTTTTTCTGTGGTGATAAAAAAAAAAAAAAAAAAAAAAAAACTAGAAATAACTGGGTTATTAAATAATTATGTAGTTCAGAGCGATATTTACTGCATGTTTTTAAATAAAAACTTACAATTGCCATTGCTGGATGACGTTCCGTTAGCAGTTAGACTAAATTATTGGTTTCAACATGATGAAGCTCTATCACATTATGGTTTGCGAGTATGAAATTATCTGAATCAAAAAAAGACAGATGAATTAGAAGAGGTGGATCCATAGCATGGCCTCTTAGGTCATTAGATCTGAATCCCCTAGATTGTTTTGGGGTTATTTAAAAGAAAATATTTACAGCAAATCTGTTGTAAATCCAGAAAATATAGTAGCCTGTATACACGCTCCTGTCGCATTAATAGACCAACAGATGCTACAAAGGGTTCAAGCTTCAATGTTGAATCGTGCCTATCTTTGTCTTGGAGTAAAAGGCAACTTATTTGAACACCTTTTGTAAAAACATTTTCTATTATTTAAGCACGTTATGGTTTTTTCCTATCCATTTTATAAAATTGTTTTATTATTAAAATGTTTTTCTCTATCCTTTTCAGGTTAAAATTATTCTTTACACCCAGGTACAACCGACAATCGGAAACTATACTTACCTACTATCCCTACTTCCCTACTATATAATACTATACTACTGTTACGCTTTCACGCGAAAACTACTTAACCGATCATCATGAAACTTTGTACACATATTCTTGGAGGTATTAGAAGTAATATAGGATACTTTTTATTAAAAAAATTTTATTATTATTTATTTATTTATTTTTTACGAAAGATTTTCTATATTTATTGTTTCAGGTTAGGTGTCATTTTTGTGGTCAATTCGTGATTTTAAATCTTACTCTGTTCTTCTTTAAAAATGCCTCGGAAGCGGAAATCTGGTTTATCCAAAAATTTGTCGCGGGCCCGTGCCGCCAAAGTTGCACGATTCATTTCTATTATACCCTTACCCTTGATCTCTGATACTTATTTAATAACTTCAATGCGAGCGAAGCCGCGGGTAAAAGCTAGTTGGTTATAAATTATTTGTCTTGGTCCCCATAAGCATATACCTCAGTTTTGGGACAAAAAAATTGGATTTTCACTTTTTTAGTTTTTTGAATAACTCGACAAAGAAAAGCAATCGGAAAATTTTCCATTCTTGATTTTCGATTTGTTTTTGTCTCTTTAATTAAATCCCAAAATGACGGGCGTCACTTTTGGGACACCCTGTATAGAATTTTCTTGGAAATCCATACGTTTAAAAATATACAGGGTATTCCATTTAAAAAATGTAATATTTGCCGTGTCCTGTTTTTACTCATCGCCCTTTATGTTTCAAATTAATTTTGTAGTTTAGGTTTCTTGATTCTGTACAACTTCTATATAATTTTTTCTGTATTATGAGTAACAAGGGAGTTATTTTACTTTCTCACACTAATGGCCCACCCTCTATGTACAACCCTTTTTAAGGTCCTTTCAGCGTCATCTAAATCTACATACTTTGGAATGCAAACATACAATAACATGTTTAAAACCTGTATAAAAACTTATGTGTAAGAATATAACACCGTAAACAATTAGCATGGACATATTTATTCACAAACATGGTCAAATTCAGAGTATTGTATTTTTAAATTTATGTCACATATAGACCAACTTTTTAGGGTTACCAAAAACATAATTTTATCTCGAATATTTTAGATTTTTAGTTGTTAGATTTTTTTATAATTATTGTTATAAAATTATTAATATACATTTATGTATTTCATCTTCACTTTCCTTCATGTGATAATTATTTGAAATAATATTTCATCAGGTCAACATTGACTTGATGTTAGCAACTCTAAACCTTCTCAATTAAAGTTTTGAAATTAGTGAGCGTCATTCTCAAAAAATCTTCAGCGTCATTTATTTTCCATTTAAAAAGCTTTTCAGGATAATCTATCTTAAAAAATATTATTATGAAACGTCTCTTATTTCTTCAATCATTGTTATATGAAATATGTAGTCTGCAAAAATTCCTATAGCTGACTTACTTTGTTTTTGCATCGGGCATTTGTTTAACCCATTTAGCGCATCAAACGAGACGTTTCGTTCCTCTTTATTTCACAGGGAACGTTTAATCCACATACTTCTATAGAAGTATGTGGTTTAATCCCACTTCCCCACTTATATCCAAGCTTTGAAACAAGTTGGCCACCGTTTTCTAGATCTTCCATGATGTCAAAACTGTCAAATTATTCTTACGTTACCTATTATAATTAGTTAAACTGTTTTCCCTTATAAAGCGTGACATGAAAACTTTTTTTAAAATAATTCTTTGTATTTTTGACTTGTAGTAATTTTACCTAGTAGGCATCCTACCAATGTTCTATATTTTATTATACAGAGTGTCCCAGAATAACATGTACAACGGACGACCACAGGTTTGTGGATTCAAAATAGGCAGATTTAGGCTAATTGTAGGTAAGTTGTAGGTTTTAAAAAACACTGTATAACACCAAAATTGGAAGCAAAAGTACACATCCCAAAAATAATCAAAATCGATTAATACATATTCGAGTTATTTACAAAATTCAAAAAATTTGCACGAACTTTGAGGCCATCTAGCGGCCAAACTAAGTGATTTTGGATATAGGTGAATTAGCCTAGATCTGCCAATTTTGAGTCCACGAATCTGTGATCTTCCATTGTACACGTTGTTCTGAGACAACCTGTATATTCAGTAGAGAAAGAGAGACAGGGGGTCAATAAAAAATTTCCTGGGTACAAAAAGGTTGAATAATTTTGAAAATAAGTAGTTTGTTCTGATAAGGCATACAAATCATCCTTTCTGGTAGTACATAATAAGTCTAATGAAGATTATAACGTATCTATACGGTTAAGTATGAATAAAAACACAATAAAATGGAGTAAAAACAATAATTGAAGAAAATTAAGTTTAGTGAATGGAGTCGGATGCGCACCATGAGAATTCGGATGTGAAAAGTCATTTATATTTTCTGACAGCCAACAATGTACACCAAGTAACTGGGCATGGTTTTAAAGAGTTGTATTTTAGGACGTACCGGGAAATTTGAGAAACAAGAGACGTATTCAACAAGTTAAAAACATTTGTATGCGAGCTTTGTTTATAAATCTGGATTGGGCATTAGGTTTGGTGTTTGGTGCATCAAACTAGCCATAATAACTGGAAAGTAGCTTAACCTTTTAACCATAAATTAACTTTTACCGCAGCACATATATTTCAAATCAACTGAGCTAAGTGTCAGTCGCATGACGAATTATAGGGGTTTAGAAATGAAATAAAATTTATAAATTAATTACTAAAAATTTCATTACTTCATTTTTTTTTTANAGAGTTTTAAATTTCCCAACTCCCAAAGTAAAAATATACTGGGTGTTCCATTTAAAATAACCAAGTTATTGCTGTTTAAAGTTGAGAGAAGTATTCAGCAGTTTTTTGAACACCCTGTATAATACTAAGTGACGACAAATATAACAATTTATAACTTCAAGGATCTAAAATAGACCCTCCAAAGCTGCTTCCTTAAAATAATTTTTTTATTGCTAATATTAAATTTCTACGCTAAGCCTGCATTTTCACTAAAATTGAAATATCTCACAAACAGTAAGTCCTAGGTATGCAGAACCTTTAATAAAGTTCACCTATTTTTTTACGGTGCTTTCAAAAATGCAGTAAAATATAGGGTGTTCCATTAAAAAAAACATAACTTTGATATGGTACGCTTTTCCTGGACACCCTGTATATTTCAAAATATTTTTAAAATGTAACCGTAATCAACCTACACATACCCACCTATACAGGTTTCTATAACATTTGCCGTTTGGTCACTAGCGACCGAGGCGTTACTGGTGGCCCACCCTGTATAATACTATACTACTGTTACGCTTTCACGCGAAAACTACTTAACCGATCATCATGAAACTTTGTACACATATTCTTGGAGGTATTAGAAGTCTTTTTATTAAAAAAAAAAAATATTTTTTACGAAAGATTTTCTATATTTATTGTTTCAGGTTAGGTGTCATTTTTGTGGTCAATTCGTGATTTTAATTCTTACTCTGTTCTTCTTTAAAAATGCCTCGGAAACGGAAATCGGTTTATCCAAAAATTTGTCGCGGGCCCGTGCCGCCAAAGTTGCACGATTCATTTCTATTATACCCTTACCCTTGATCTCTGATACTTATTTAATGACTTCAATGCGAGCGAAGCCGCGGGTAAAAGCTAGTTGGTTATAAATTATTTGTCTTGGTCCCCATAAGCATATACCTCAGTTTTGGGACGAAAAAATTGGATTTTCACTTTTTTAGTTTTTTGAATAACTCGACAAAGAAAAACAATCGGAAAATTTTCCATTCTTGATTTTCGATTTGTTTTTGTCTTTAATTAAATCCCAAAATGACGGGCGTCACTTTTGGGACACCCTGTATAGAATTTTCTTGGAAATCCATACGTTTAAAAATATACAGGGTATTCCATTTAAAAAATGTAATATTTGCCGTGTCCTGTTTTTACTCATCGCCCTGTATGTTTCAAATTAATTTTGTAGTTTAGGTTTCTTGATTCTGTACAACTTCTATATAATTTTTTCTGTATTATGAGTAACAAGGGAGTTATTTTACTTTCTCACACTAATGGCCCACCCTCTATGTACAACCCTTTTTAAGGTCCTTTCAGCGTCATCTAAATCTACATACTTTTGAATGCAAACATACAATAACATCTTTAAAACCTGTATAAAAACTTATGTGTAAGAATATAACACCGCAAACAATTAGCACGGACATATTTATTCACAAACATGGTCAAATTCAGAGTATTGTAATTTTAAATTTATGTCACATGATCATAGACCAACTTTTTAGGGTTACCAAAAACATAATTTTATCTCGAATATTTTAGATGTTTAGTTGTTAGATTTTTTTATAATTATTGTTATAAAATTATTAATATACATTTATGTATTTCATCTTCACTTTCCTTCATGTGATAATTATTTGAAATAATATTTCATCAGGTCAACATTGACTTGATGTTAGCAACTCTAAACCTTCTCAATTAAAGTTTTAAAATTAGTGAGCGTCATTCTCAAAAAATCTTCAGCGTTATTTATTTTCCATTTAAAAAGCTTTTCAGGATAATCTATCTTAAAAAATGTTATTATGAAACGTCTCTTATTTCTTAAATCATTGTTATATGAAATATGTAGTCTGCAAAAATTCCTATAGCCGACTTACTTTGTTTTTGCATCGGGCATTTGTTTAACCCATTTAGCGCATCAAACGAGACGTTTCGTTCCTCTTTATTTCACAGGGAACGTTTAATCCACATACTTCTATAGAAGTATGTGGTTTAATCCCACTTCCCCACTTATATCCAAGCTTTGAAACAAGTTGGCCACCGTTTTCTAGATCTTCCATGATGTCAAAACTGTCAAATTATTCTTACGTTACCTATTATAATTAGTTAAACTGTTTTCCCTTATAGAGCGTGACATGAAAACTTTTTTTAAAATAATTCTTTGTATTTTTGACTTGTAGTAATTTTACCTAGTAGGCATCCTACCAATGTTCTATATTTTATTATACAGAGTGTCCCAGAATAACATGTACAACGGACGACCACAGGTTTGTGGATTCAAAATAGGCAGATTTAGGCTAATTGTAGGTAAGTTGTAGGTTTTAAAAAACACTGTATAACACCAAAATTGGAAGCAAAAGTACACATCCCAAAAATAATCAAAATCGATTAATACATATTCGAGTTATTTACAAAATTCAAAAAATTTGCACGAACTTTGAGGCCATCTAGCGGCCAAACTAAGTGATTTTGGATATAGGTGAATTAGCCTAGATCTGCCAATTTTGAGTCCACGAATCTGTGATCTTCCATTGTACACGTTGTTCTGAGACAACCTGTATATTCAGTAGAGAAAGAGAGACAGGGGGTCAATAAAAAATTTCCTGGGTACAAAAAGGTTGAATAATTTTGAAAATAAGTAGTTTGTTCTGATAAGGCATACAAATCATCCTTTCTGGTAGTACATAATAAGTCTAATGAAGATTATAACGTATCTATACGGTTAAGTATGAATAAAAACACAATAAAATGGAGTAAAAACAATAATTGAAGAAAATTAAGTTTAGTGAATGGAGTCGGATGCGCACCATGAGAATTCGGATGTGAAAAGTCATTTATATTTTCTGACAGCCAACAATGTACACCAAGTAACTGGGCATGGTTTTAAAGAGTTGTATTTTAGGACGTACCGGGAAATTTGAGAAACAAGAGACGTATTCAACAAGTTAAAAACATTTGTATGCGAGCTTTGTTTATAAATCTGGATTGGGCATTAGGTTTGGTGTTTGGTGCATCAAACTAGCCATAATAACTGGAAAGTAGCTTAACCTTTTAACCATAAATTAACTTTTACTGCAGCACATATATTTCAAATCAACTGAGCTAAGTGTCAGTCGCATGACGAACTATAGGGGTTTAGAAATGAAATGAAATTTATAAATTAATTACTAAAAATTTCATTACTTCATTTTATTTTTACTTTGTTACTTTTATCTGTCCTTTGCCAAATTCTCTATGAAAAATTTTCCACCATTTTAAAAATATATATTGGCATAAAAATGGGTCTGTTTACTTTTTAATAGGCAGTAAGCAACCGGAAATACTCAAATTCTAAACTTATTTATTAATGAGATCAATATAACAAAACAAGAATATTTTTTTGCCAATTGGTAACAAATATTCTAATTTCAAACAATTTTTAAGAAATAAAATAACAAATTTTATCACTGCCTTTAAATATTTTATCGTTTTGCCTTGATAATTATTGTGGTTCACAAGTAATGTAACAAATTTAAATATTATGAAAAATATTAAAAAGTTGAGGAAATTTACAGACAATTACGACCTATTTCTTTCTTTCATCTTTCAAAATAAAAGATTAAGAAAAAATTACCTTGTCCATCTATAACCATTCTAAAAGTGCCGAGCAATTTAAAAACTACCAAATATTGATCGATTTTAATCATAGGGTAGATGACATCAATTAATCCTTCCTGTAAAATTTGTTCCTTGTTCTGATGGGGAATAACTAAATTCTTTAAAGTGCTTAATAAAGCATGCTGTATTTTGATGTCTGATGTGCCAGTACTACTGTTGTATTGTGAAAGCAAACCTGGAAATAAGATATAGGTATCTGTGGTACAGCAAAGCAAAAGAAAAGAACAATTTATATCATTATCATATACAGTGCCTTCATAAATGATTACAAGCCACATAGTCACGTGGCTTAGGCAACCAATATTACACAATTGACTGTCAACTGTTAACCAAATATTCCTAAATCTTAGCCTCATCAATATTGGTTTATTTGAAATGAACAATGACAAACTGTTGCTTCCCCGCTAATGCAATCAGCGATTGAATAAAATCTGAAAAGTTACACCAATCAGCAGACGGTGAAACAGAATGTTGTATTTTAAAGTATTCTTGATCTTATTGTTTCAATAATTTCTAATTTTGCCAAAATTTAATTGTCAACACGAAGGAAAGGCTTGTAATCATTTATGAAGACTATATATAAAATATCCAGTCCCCAAAAGCGTGGGGCCCAGGGACTTTGCCCTGAGCTGCCATTTGGTAGTTATGACACTATCTCTATGCCCTTATGAGGTACAGAACATAAATGACTCAAAATCGAATAAAATATAATTTTATAAAAAATTTAAACATTCATGTATTCAACAATTGCCCATTTAGTTGGAAATTTCATAATTTGATAATAAAGCATGGAACCCATAAGCAACCTTGTTACCTACTTATCAATTTTTTGGATATCCCATTTTTAACCATTTGAATACAATGAATATCACGCCTTGCAAAATTACCAATTGCTAATATGCCTGTACTCAATAGATCGGAGTCATCTGAATCTAACCAAGTTATCATATTGCAATATACTTGTCCTTCACCATTGTTATACAACATGTACATGCAATCATCTAAAACAGATGTTACTTAATTCTACTATACTTTAAAAACAAAATAATAAAACCTCCAGTAAGTATGATTACGATGAGATCACAAGCCATTTTTAATACAGATCTACTTTCTTCATCATTGACCTGATGCTTATACTTTTTTATTAGTTCAAATAATAATTCACATACTCCCTCCTTAGCAAGTAAAGCTTTTATTTCATCTGAAATATAATTAATCTGAGAAGTTGTTTCGGCAAAGATTATAATTCTAACCTTTTTCGGATTGTCCATGAAAAATTTCCAAACATATTACTGAAATTTCCGGGTTTGTCGATTTTTTAAATATATCTACTACAAGTTGACATAATTTTTCAGAAAAAATTACATTCTGTTCATCAAAATAATCTAACAGGTTACTGAGAATTGTTAAAAGAAACGTCAGTAACATTTGGTTATCTTCAAATGTTTCAAAATATTTGATCATCAATTTTTCCAAAACTGGAACAATTTCATTTTTGAGAACTGTTCGAGATAATCCATCGTGTAAGCTAATAAGATTTAATAGCAGTCCAGATACTTTTGTTGTTAATGACTGATCATTTCTTTTATCATCATTTTTAAGAATCATCAGAATATTATTGATTCCAATTTTGTCGACTAGATTGCAGGCTTCTTCATTTTCATAGCAGATATTTCCCAATGCCCTTATACTATTAAATACAATGTCAACATCATTATTATCTAATAAAGACATCAAACAGTTTATAATACTTTCGTTTGTCAAATTTTTTCTGTTGTATGCAGTTTTGGCCCATTCTGCAATTATCTCTGTTGACAATTTAAGAATTTCGTTTCTATTTATTTGTAACAAAGTTTTTATAACATCAGTACTACTTATTTCAATATTTGTACCCTGAGTCAGTATGATTTTTAAATTATTGATTATTTCTTCTTCATCTAATGTTTCTGTTGCATTTATTAAGTTATTAAATGTGTCAGACATTTTTATATTTTGTAATTTGTATTAAACAAATTTTAAATCTTAAAAACATCTACTTCAAAAACTCGAATTTGTTTGGCATAGCTTGACAACATAGAAATGACAGTATACTAACTGTCAAATATATGCTTGACAGATTCGATAACAAATGACAGCGCCGGCGCCGTTATTTTTGGCGATGTTGGTGGACTAAAAAAAAATTATTTAGCCCCAATTTGTTGATAGTAGCGTCACAGAATATATAAACGCTTCTGTGGTAGCGTTGTATTGTAACCATAACTAAGGAATAAGGATACACTCGGCCGTCCCGTCCTCCATCGAGCCATATGACTCGAAGCGCGAAGTTGTTCCGCGGAGACAGGTTTTGGTCCTCCTAAGCATAAGCACAGAAGATAAAACAATATCTTCTGTGGCATAAGTTTCCCCCTGACCTGACCCCTCGCGCCGTTATTTCTATAGCGTTAAGCGTGGCCTCGATAATTTGAGACCGAGGGGAACTATCCCTCTTTGTCCTGCCTTATCTCTGTAGGCCTCGGCAGCCTCGTGAAGGTGGTTCGTGGGTCCCGTCGATCGTCTGCCCGGGCGTTGTCTCTGACCCCGGTCGCGACCACAAGCATGGCCGGTGTGACCTGACCTTCTGATCTGACCCCTGAAACTGTATTATATGTTTTGTGCCAGAAACCAGAAACACCACCCGATTTTTTTGTTTGACACTTGAGCCTGCGCAGTTGAGATTATGATAGAAAATGCTATTTTAATTTCTTATTTCTGCATTATTTTTGATCAAAAAAAATATTTTTGTATTATTAATAAAGTGGTAAACAAATAAAAGAATTTCATTTAAATTTATTTGCAAAGTCAAAGTTGATTTTGTATATGAACAAATATATTATGATCCAGTGAAAAAAGTACTTAAACTAAAAAGAGAGTAGTATACCAGGAACTTGATGCTTTGATCCGAAAGCAGCTCAAATTTACCATTGTTGCTTAATCTATCGTTGTATTTTTGTGCGATTTTGAGCGTCATCGTCATCTAACGATGAATATTTGCGAACTCCCCTCAGATGGTCACTTTGTCACACGGTCCGTAAAAAACGGACCGTGACTGTCACCAATATCAAAGGTAAGTTCGGTATTAACATCTAGAGGCTCCAAGATGTGTTGTGTTCTTTTCTAATTGTAAGAGCTGAAAAGACAAAGAGATATCTAGACCTAGAGCATCTAGAGATGTCAATACCGAACTTGCCTCAAATAATGAGAACTGATAAACTGAAATAAGAAATAACAACAGAACCACCAACATCAACAGATTAATAAAAGGTTTAATAACAATATAGTGTTTGATTCAACTATTTTGAATTTGTATTCATTCCAAATATTAAATGTACAAATAGGATAATTTTAATTTTTTTTATACGGACAAGATAATGGATGATTTAAATATAGAAGATTTAGATTTATACGAATTATTGGAAATAGATATAAATAGTACAACAACTGAAGTAAGTTAATTAATATAACTGATAGGTAACTGTTAACATTTTCATATATTATCATTAAAATTTTCAGATAAAAAAAGCATATAGAAAAAAGGCTTTGCAATGCCATCCAGATAAAAATCCTGATGATCCCAATGCGGCAAAGAAATTTCAGCAGCTTTTAAAAGTACTAGAAGTGTTAACAGATAATGCAGCTCGTTCTGCATATGATAAAATTTTAAAAGGTAAAAAAGAAGCGAAATTAAGACATAAGGAATTGGATGGAAAACGAAGAAAATTGAAGGAGGATTTAGAAGCGAGAGAAAGACAAGCTACTAGTGGAACCTTCAAAGGAAAGTCTCCACAGCAACTTTTAAAAGTAATTAAATTAAATGTAGGTATAGTTGTTGAAATTTTTAAAATTTATTGCAATTATAGGAAGAAATTGAGAGATTAAGGAAAGAAGGTTCAAAGCAAGTTGAAGAAGAAATGCAATATGTTTTAAATAAATTAAAAGAAGAACAACAAAGATCTAATGAAGGGAATTGGGATGGATCTACACATCGAATAAAAATTAAATGGCATGTAAATAAAAATGACAGTACGAATGGAGGGTACACCTATGAAATGCTTCATACATTTTTATCAAAGGTGACAGTGTAATTATTAAAAAATATATATTATAACTCTCTTTTCTTTTAGTACGGGGACATTCATGTGTTAGTAATGTCACCTAAAAAAAGTGGAAGTGCATTAGTAGAATTTAAGGACAGGAAATCAGCAGTAAGTATTTATTTAAAATATTTGCGAAGTAATTAATAATTTATTTTCATACATTCAAGATGTTAAACAGACACATGTTATATGGGCAAATCTTATTGAACATTACCTAATTTGCCACTGCACGTGAATCTATAAATTCTTTGTATGGACCTGGTTATCTGTTATACAAAGTATTTTTATCTAAATTTCTAAATCAGGTATCTAAATTTTTTTGAAAGTGGATAACACAAGAGAATGTAGATGTCGTTTTTTGTAATACCTTGAAAGTTCTTATAGCTGTTTTACATTGACAATTTATTGATGAATAAATTGATGAAGTTCTTCATGAATTAATTCACGAATTTATTGATAAACAGTGTGGTTTTACACTGCTACACACTTTGTCAAGTTTTTTTACCCATGAATCAGTTCTACCAACGAATCGAAGCAAATAAATTTCGAAAATGTCACCTTTCCACTCATATTTATATTGATACAACAGCGGTGCCGTTCTGACACATATTATATAAATTATATTAGTTTTTGTAAATAACAAATCAGTAAAAACAATGCAAAACTAGTACGACGCCACACAATTATTTACATATTCTAATAACATAACCTCATTACTGATCTGAGGGTGGAAATCTGTTGGGTTGGTAACTTCACGAAGAAATTGACAAAAATTAGAACATGCTCTAATTCGTTAAGAACTTGATGAATAAATTCATGAAGTTATTTGACAGCAGATTTGGTGCATTACATTTGTCCAATTTCTTGATGAAGCGACTTCATGAATTAATTGATCAATAAATTGTCAATGTAAAACAGCTATTA